CCTGTCGGTCAATAGGAATATTCCCGGCAAAAGGGATCAAAACTCTGCCTACAGGAATCAAATCAACAAACAAACGTTCCCAGTAGACAGTCAAAAGACAAACAGTCAAATCACTGCACAACCGTAAGTTGAACCAAAACAAAATGTCGTGCGCAGTAAAACAACATCACCTTATCAACAGTCCAGCGTCACATAATAGGAAAGTGAAACACTCATAATAAGTCTCAAACATACAAAGGCAAATACCGAGTGTAAAGTCAAATAAGACAGTTAAACAAGCAAATAACATTACACCGGCGAGGGTCAAAGGTACACCATCCATAACGAGGGTAAAAATGTTAAAATAAATGTCAATACAATCAAATAAGGGTGATCGGGAGGGATTTTCAGATCATTTTTCCTTTACACCGGCCACCAAAATCCCTCCAGACACGCAAAACACCTCTGTGTATTCAGCCGTGGCTCTATCTACCTAGCTGTCTGCATACTCTATCTTTCTTCTACTCCCTCAAGAAGACAAAGCTTTCTTATATCTCTTCTCACGGTACCTTCCTTCATACGCACCATCACAGTTCTTACTAAATCGTCTTCGTCCTTCTCGCATGTTTCGATCACTCCCAAAGGCCAGGAACCACGTGGTGTTTTTTCAGAGGCCACAATCACCACATCTCCCTCCTTGAAATTTCTTTTCCTTCCCAACCACTTCTGACGAGTTTGCAAGCATGGTAGATACTCTTTCATCCATCGGCGCCAAAATACGTCAGCTAAGTAATTAACTTGTTTCCAACGTCTGACGTAATTATCGGCAATAGTGCCCTCCACGACTATTCCTCCACTATCTCTCAATAACAATAAGCTATTGGGAGTGAGAGCTAACTCGTCTTTTGGGTCGGTCGTCATGGGAACAATAGGACGATTGTTCAAAATTCTTTCTATTTCCACGAAGTAGGTGGCTAATGTATCATCATGCAGAGTCTGCTCTTTGGATATGACCATCAATAACCTGCGTACAGAACGTATCATCCTTTCCCATATCCCACCTCGATGACTCGCTTGCGGGGGGTTGAAACTCCATCGTATCCCCTTTGACACCATGGCATCATTGATTCGTCGTCTATCCCACACACTCACCAGTTGTCTTAGTTCCGAAATCGCTCCAACAAAGTTGGAACCATTATCACTGTATATCTCTGCAGGTGTTCCTCTTCTTCCTATGAACCTCATTACAGCCATTATAAAGGCGTCGGTGCCTAGGTTGAAAGCTACCTCTAAATGTATGGCTCGCGTCTGGAGACAAGTAAACACACACCCGTACCTCTTTTCCTCTCTCCTTCCCTGGCGAACCATGAGTGGTCCAAAATAATCAATTCCCACTGATGAGAAGCAAAACCATCCTTTCTGCACGCGACAGACCGGTAAAGGGGCCATCATCTGCTGACCCAGTGCAGCTTTCAATCGTCGGCACTCTATGCACTTTCTTATCACCCGTTTGACCGCACTGATCCCCTTAATTATCCAATAGTTTCTTCGTAGAGTGGCCAGGACTTGCGAAGTACCAGTATGTCCTTCTATAATATGATAATGCCTTATGATCAGCTCAGTCACGAAGTGATGTCTGGGGAGGATAACCGGATGCTTAAAAGTAAGTGGGTAGTCGGAATAGTTCAACCTCCCACCGACGCAGACCAATCCATCCACAAGTATAGGTGACAACCTTTGCAATTCACCTTCTTCAGTCTCACAACTACCCTTTTCTCGGAGTTCCTTTATTAATTCTCCATATACCTCCTGTTGTACCATACATAATACTTTATGTCTAGCAGCTTCCAGTTCATCGGCTGTTAGATAGCCAACATTCAGTGACACACCTTGGCGACGCGAATACATAACGGATATGTAGACCACATATCTCTTAAGCCATGCCACAGCTTTAATCAGCCTCACCCAGTCCGAATGATACGCCAAAATCGGATCAGCAGTGAGCTCAGTAACGTTTGTGTTTGTTCGGACCGACCTCTTCAATTCGACATTTTTCGGTGGTTCCTTCCAGCAGAGGTCTGTGGTACTTGAAAACTGTCGGGTTCCCAGAAAAGAGGGGCCCTGAATCCAAGACGCTAATTCACACGCTTTTCGTATGCCTCTTGATGTCCAATCTGCGGGATTCTCTTCAGATTTAACGTACCCCCACTGATTTGGGGATGAATACTGGTGAATAATGGCTAGACGGTTGGCCACAAACGTACTATACCGACTCTCTGTATTTCTAATATAGTACAAAACAATCATAGAATCTGTCCAAAAATAAGTCTTGTCAAAGCTATTTGGGAGGTTCTTCCTCAAAATTTCACTCATTCGTACACTCAATACTGCCGCAGCTAACTCTAATCTCGGCACTGTCACCGTTTTCAGAGGGGCAACCCGGGATTTGCTATAAAGCAGTATGCTGTAGGGTGGCGTGTTTTTTGGAACGTTCCACGAATAAGCCACCGCTCCATAACCAGATTCAGAGGCATCGCAAAATAAGTGCAACTCAATCTTACTCATCTCACTCTTATCCTCCTTCTTGATACTTCTGGGTACGGAGATTTGCCCAAGATTCTTCATGAACCTCATCCAATCCATCCATAGGGATAGGTCATTGGAACTCAGGGGTGTATCCCAACCAGCATGAGATTTGCAAAGATTCTGCAATAGCTGCTTGGCCGGAAGACAAACTGGGGCGATGAGGCCTAGTGGGTCAAAAAGAGCTGAGACGGTGGATAGTAGTCCTCTCTTCGTGAAGGGTTTTTCGACGGGTTCAAATCGGAACTTAAAAACATCATGCATGGTGTCCCATTCCAAACCTAGGGCCCTGTGGATTGAGCCTTGACTAACACGTAAGTCGACTGAGTTCTCTGTGTGGCTCAGACCAGGAAGAACTACTCTCACTGCCTCTGAATTAGTCACCCACTTCTTCAATTTAAAGCCACCACGTAACAACAACTCAGTGGACTGTTTTACGAACGTTTTTGCCTCACCTGGGCTTGCAAAGGACACTAGGCAATCATCAACATAAAAGTTATGCTTCACTGCTTCCACCACATAACTATCATAATCGTTGGCATACGTCTCGGCAGTCTTGGCCATTGCAAAATACGCACAAAACGGTGAGGACACTGCACCGAATGGGTGTGACGTCATTTGATATTCAATAGGTTCCTTCGAGAAATCACCCTGAGGCCACCATAGGAACCGCAGAGCACCTCGGTCAAACTCTGGGACTTTCACCTGCATAAACATTTCTTCCACATCGGACGTCAGGGCAATCAGTTCTTTGCGAAAACGCAATAATATTCCAACCAAGTTCGCTGTCGTGTCTGGTCCCTGATACAGGAAGTCATTTAAAGAAGTTCCGGACAGTTTGGCAGCGCAGTCCAGCACAACTCTTACCTTCCCCGGTTTCTTGGGGTTAAATACGGCATGATGCGGCAAATACCATCGTGGGCGGTAGCTAGGATCAAGCTGGGGCTCAGGAGCTACTGCTGCATATCCCTTTCTGATGGTCTCTTCCATGGCGCTAGTGTAGCTTTCGCGAAGGCTTTCAGAGGATATTAGTCTGCGTTTCAAACTCTCCAAACGTCGCCTGGCTACTTCGCATCCACCGTATACTCTCTTGGACTCCATTTTCCAGGGCAAGGGGACAACGAAATGTCCATTATCCCAATAAGTACCTCGCTGCACTATGTTTACAGCGGCTAGGTCATCGAGAGATAACGACTTATCTCCCGAGTACAAATCGCTGAACTCATAATCGTAAATTTTCTTCCATTGATCGACTAATAGATCTGACCGAGACGTACAATTCACAACCCTCTCCCTGTGCTCACGAAAGCTTGTCGGACCGAACACGACCCAGCCCAACAATGATCTCACAGCATATGGGCTCTTTCTGCCCCCTAACTTCTGATCTAGAACCCAGTGAGCCTCAGGTACATCGCAACCGATGAGCAGCAATACCTCCCCGTCTTCCACCTCTGTCCAGGGTACGTCAGTCAGATGCGGCCACCTTTTAATACTTTCTCGCATCGACCCTTTAGGTCTCCGTACTGGGAGATCTCTTGCCACAACTGCTCGATCTATAAGTATGCATTCGTTTCCGTCTAGTGAATAAACTTCGAAAGGCTTGCTGACTGAGTCCGCCAATCTACTTCCACTAACAGTTTTGATGATAGTCTTTGTGCCGTCAGTCGACAATCCTAGAAGTTGCAAAACATTTTTCGTGATCAAAGTTGTATCAGAGCCATTGTCCAAGATAGCATAACCGTAAACCTCTTTATTACCGTGCTTTACACGTACCGGGAGTAGGCCCAAACACACGCTTTCTCTGAGAGACTCAGTGCATCCACAACTACCTTTCTCCGGTTGTTCGCCTACGGCGTGGTGGGTCTTCTTGTGTAACAGAGGGTGATGGTATGCTTTACAACCTTCTACACTGCACACCCTGTGAATTTTACATTCTACGGACCTGTGGCCCCTTTTAAGACATGAAAAACAACAACCTGTTTCTTTAGCCTTCGACCATCTCTCATCCACCGGTAACGACAGAAATGTGGTACATTTTGTGACTACATGGTTCCCTCCACAAAATATACATGAAGGTTTCAGGACTCCCCCAACGGGTACTAGCTGCTGCGTGGAACATGCTATTTTACTATCTGGTCGTCGACTGCTTGTTGCCAGCTGTCCAAACCTACTTAGCAAAATGCTCGCACGTGCTGACACAAACTGCGTTAACTCTGCGAAGGTAGGTTCTCGTTCGGTTTCAGTTAGCTTTTCGACAGTCTCCGCCCATTTCATCTGTAACACACGGGGCAATTTCTTTACTATACCTTCTAAAGTTCTCAAGGAGTTAAGGTCCGCAGTATAGTCCATTTGCTCTAGGGCTATAGCGCAGTTTTCCATTTTTATAGCTAACCTCGACATTGCCTCAGCATCGTTTTGTTCTATGTTCGAGCATTCCATCAGATCCTGTAGTAAGGCCCGGCTGACTTCATGAGTCCTTCCAAACAAACGTTGAGTATATCCCGAGCCCTACGATAACCAGCAGATGGTGGTAACATAATGCATTCCTCTATAGCCTCCCTGGCCTTACCTTTACAGTAATGTAACAAGTATAACAGCCTCTGTCCATCATCATCAACCTTAGAGACAACGTAGAGCTCAAACTGCCTCATAAACTTCCAATATTTGGCTGGATGTCCGTCAAAGCTGCTTAATTCTACTTTCGGCAACTCATGGCCAACACTGACACAAGGCAACGTAGCGGCAACCCCTTTGTTTTCTGCGCTGCTCGCCTGGCTAGTCGTTTCACGATCAGAACTGCTATGAGGGTCAATGCCAAGACAAACTGATTTGTGACACTTTATATCATCATCCAAGGAAAAGGTATCACCTAAACCCCCATTCACATCTAAGTTGAGTTCTTTATGCAGACGCAACCTTTCCTGTCTTTGTTTAGCCTTGAATTCACGAAGTTCCAACTCTTGCCTTTCATCCAACTGTCGTACCTTCAACTGAGCAGAGGTCCTACAAGGACTAGTCTTACTATAGTCAATAACTGTACCATTATCAGAGCCACGGCATGAAATAACATCAAGAGGGACTTGCTTGGTATCTGAGGTTGGATCCATGGACATGTCACCTTCCCCGTCCGGAATTGACTCAAGGAACACCTTGCGATTGCCAGGTACAGCAGTGACGGGTTGTTGAGTACTGTAGCGGCCAGAATCCAATAATCTTGGCCTGAACGCGGGAAATAGCTAGGCGGTGCCAACTGACGTGAATCTGACTAGTTCCTGCGTTCTACTGTATAGCTTCCTAACTTCCGCGAGTGACGCACAGTCAAAGGTTGGATCGAAATATCAAAACACGGTTTGTAGTAATTCAATAGTAGATTCGTAACAAAATCTGTGGTACTATCAAAGCAACAATAAGTTATGTCAAATTACAAAAATACCTCAACAGTGCCGTTGGGTAACTATACAGTCCAAAACGTTCTCGGGTACAAATACGTACTACACGGTAAAAACTGGTTAAAAAATACAACTGTTAAATACCTGTCGGTCAATAGGAATATTCCCGGCAAAAGGGATCAAAACTCTGCCTACAGGAATCAAATCAACAAACAAACGTTCCCAGTAGACAGTCAAAAGACAAACAGTCAAATCACTGCACAACCGTAAGTTGAACCAAAACAAAATGTCGTGCGCAGTAAAACAACATCACCTTATCAACAGTCCAGCGTCACATAATAGGAAAGTGAAACACTCATAATAAGTCTCAAACATACAAAGGCAAATACCGAGTGTAAAGTCAAATAAGACAGTTAAACAAGCAAATAACATTACACCGGCGAGGGTCAAAGGTACACCATCCATAACGAGGGTAAAAATGTTAAAATAAATGTCAATACAATCAAATAAGGGTGATCGGGAGGGATTTTCAGATCATTTTTCCTTTACAACCTACTTATATCGAATGAAAATAATTTTGTCGGGTCTGAGGCTAGCCTGGTGGCACTAATTTCATTCATCCCGCCAGACTGTTCGCAGTTCGATAACTTCTTAACCAAAGTCGGTTATTGGTCCTACTTGAACCGCCCGGCGACCAATCCTTAAGAGTGTCGAAATGTTGATTTTAGGCTATGTGGTGAAGATGACCTACAAGAACTGGTTCACTTCCAAGACTCTTCTCCCACTGATGGTTCTGCATTGGAGAATATTTTAGTTCGAGTTCATCTTGGCTTGTGCTTTCCCTGTTATCTTTCTACCCCCTCTATATTCCACTGATGTCCAGTCAAATCCTCCATGTCACATGAAGAAACTACGACAGTCTGGCAAAATTCAGCCTCTACTCTTAGGTTTCATCAATTCCTGTCTTCCACTTTACTAGTTCCTAGTTCTCACTAATTCTCTCCGAGAAAGCCAACATTTCCTTCTTCTGTTCACCACAATAAGAGACGAAGCAAAATGGCACTCATATGCTTCGAACATTTATGTGGTCAAAACCAGTGAAATTCAAAACGAACAGGATAGAAGTGGAGTCAGTGTTTAGCGAAGTTCCTGCAACCTACTGTACAAACCAGAAAATAGCCGCATGAAGTTGAATACATCCAAGAATTTTTCAAAGAACATTACCATGGGCTCTTCTAAAAGTTAATAAGTGGTACCATCGGTTGCCCGAAAAGAAAACTTACAGTGTTTCGCCCCATTTTTTCTGTTTGCGATGAAAGCTTCTCACCTTTTGGCTGGGAACTGAATGGTATGCAGACTCGATTTTTGCTGGTACCTACACATTCCCCGGGTTGCCGGAATTATCTGCTGACAAGTCTGGAACCTCTGCCTACTGTGATATTTGAAGGTAGGTCGAAAATCTAAATGAATCGGGTTTTACAACGTTTAGCTAGCGTTCCTGTGGGTATATCTCCTCTTCTAATTTTTCGGTTCCATGCTTCGCACAATGGAACAGTATTACTTATTGCATGACGTTTCGGACCAAATTTGTTCGCCATACTCAGTGAAGGTCCTGCCATTTAGGAACAAAAATTCGGTCAACAGTGACCATAGCCGCTTTTACTGGATTTATTCACACATTAGCATGTCATTTCAAGACTAGGTTTTTTCTTCTAGCAGTTGATAAGAAAACGCTTAAGTTCGCCCAAACGCCGACCTAAAACTGCAACCCCTTGGGGCACCAAGAATGGTCTACCCTAGCAACAGCAGGCATCACTACCGATGACTTTCTGGTTCCCGGGTGTGGTGCTGTGCCAGAATTACCTGATGGTAGGAGGCATCATGCCCGAAGTGATGCCGTGTTGCCTACCTCGCCGTTCTTCTGCAAAGTCACTCTGACTGGCACGGGAATCTTTTTTGCAGAAACTTGGGGATGGGCCTGTTGTAACGAAGGAAATAACCTGTCCACGTGACACTTCTATTTGACACTAACAGTGCATCTACTTTATGTTCGCATGGTATCTTTAGGCTCCGTTCCCTTGCGAATCTTTTTTTGATGGCCATAAAGAGCCAGTGATCGTTGTTTGTTATGAAGCGAACACCCAAGTTATATGTAACAGAAGAACCCGTTTTATACTGACTAGCCACTGCAGCACTCGGTGACGTTGGTTAAAATTTCATAAGGGAAGTTAACCGCATCGCGGTTTCAGAAACACCTTGCTGACAAGTGCCACGAAACACAGGCCAAGAGATTTCCACTGATCACCTTCAAACAACTGAGAGAACTAACTGTCCTCCCTTCCAGTAAATGCAGACAAAAGAATGGCCCGAAAAGAACTCCCGCCTCATGAAAATTCAGACCCTCCTCATTACCCTAACTGTCTCTCGTATCGTTATGCAGTAGATTTTCAACTTCGGAAGCAAAACTGAACACCGAGGCAATGAAATTCTACCCCACCACTCGGTAGTGGACTAATGTTTACCATAGATACAGATACTATTAGGTAGTTCCCAAATATACCGCCAAAAGCGACGGACCTTTCTTTAAACAGGTTTGAATTTTCTTCTCTTCATGACTCGCTAGGCGCGTTTTCATATCATTTTTGGTAATGAGGATGGTAGACGCGTTTTTCTGTGCTAATTCACGTAGAAGATATTCTGGTAAGATCCAGTTTTCTGAGCGAATCGACCGAAAGCGTTTAAACTGCCTGCTGCGAGTAGGAGTTCCAGGAGCTGATCATACGATGGATGTAGCGTAGATTTACTTTAGGCTGATTCGAATGTGTCTTTTGGATTTTGTTGTGAAGCCACTAGAGATAATCAGTCCTAACCGGAGAGAAAAGTTAGAACATACTAGTACCAATGTCACTATCAGGGGTACGGAATGCCAGTATGAGCCCACCCCGCGTTCTATGGTAAGACGGCAGGAATAAGTTTATCTATCTAATCTTTCCTCATAGGGTAGATTCCAAAGGCTTGCCAAAAGCCCACCGCCCAGCCTTTGAACATGATCGGGTGCATCAGCATCTTGCATCAGGCAACATTCCAAGTGAGGTCTAAAATAAACAGAGCAGAGTATCCTGAATATATCCCGACCAAAACTTGTAAGTCATTCAGATGGACCACTGTTCACGGAAGCCTTTTGCTGCTGGTGTATTATAGTGTGTCGAAGGTTTCAAATCAGGGCTCATGATAACACCTGAGTATTTTAGTTCAAAGACCGCGAGTAGTGGTCTATTGCCAAAAGAATGCCATAAAAATGATTCAACCAGTGTTCGTTCCTGCTCCTTTATTAGAGTTAATTTCCGGGCACCAACGTGTGGACCAACCTACCAAATTGTGCAAATGTGCTCAAAGCGCATACCCATTAACACTACTATATGTGAGTCTTCAAAGATTGCCTCATCGGAGGATAGCGACAGCAGGGCTGAGGAGTGGGGGTAACTCTCTGAGATATGAAGAGGAAGGTGGAAGGCCTAAGACTGTTCCCCGAATAGTGTCCCATTAACCCTCACTCATAGACTTCTGTCACAAGTGAAATCCCCAATCCAGGCTTGTAGTGCGCCCCCAAACTCAAGAAAAGAGAGATTCCCTAGTAATTTTACGTGAAGTTTATGAACACTGTCAGTCGGCAGCATGCGAGGTCTGTCAAACAGTAGCGACCGGTACTGAGGTGCCGGGAGATCATTTGATTCAACAAGGCTGAGTAACTTATCGCGATTTATTTTTTCTCCGCCCAGTTTATGCGTGGAGTTTGCAGATTCCCAACTGTTAGGCATCCGTTGCTGCTGCTGCAGTTACGTATGCAGGTTAACATGACGTCATTTGCAAGGCAAGACGGTCTATGGTAAATCATCGCAACAGTGCAAACACCAATCGTTGACTTCAGCTCACAAATGAAGACTTCGCACGTACCGCATTCATGTGCTTCTGAAGTGACTATCAGTATAAGGGTATCATCATGAACATAGAGTAGTACGCCGCCACCTCTGCGACTTACAACCTTATCTGTCCTTACTCAGTAATACCCTGCCGGAGGCGGCTTAGAGTCTAAATCTTCTATTGGCCAGGGCCGCCACACAAAGATCTAGTTAATAGACTAAAGTCTCCAGACCTGTATGTTTATTTCTGGCGCTGCGAATGCTGGTGTTAATTACATTCAGTGTTTGGAGAGTCATACGGTCCATACACACAGGCCTCTAGGCATTCGTCTCTAAAACCTCACGACTGGGAAACTCAAATTTTTTAGATCTTTTTTCCATTAATTTGTCTAGCCTTAAGTTCAGTGATCACCTGCCTTCTTTTCACCCAGTCCTCCAGAGGCCGGTTAGGTCAGACATGGACGTCCAAATCTCGCAGCTCTGATGTGTTACTCAGCAGTGCATTCATCTTTTCTTTGTTGCCTAGACCAACCTCCAAAGTCCTAGTCCCGTACGGGTTGTCATTCCTTTTTTCCCTAACCTGGCTACTTTCAAAATGTGTGCTCCATTAGGCGTATCAGGTAGGGTATGTCTGACGGCCGACTCGACCACCTTCAGATAATGCATGTAACATATCGAAGGGTCTTCTTCGCTGACTCTCTAGCACTTCAGAAGATCGCACTGGACGTCGGTGGGAAGCCGTTGGATCGTGTGCTGACGACCTTCGAAGCCTTCTCAAAAGGTTTCGTAGCTTTGATAGCTTCAGTGATGCCCTTTAAGCGTTTCTTCGAGTTATTTCCTGGAGGAAACCAATCGGATTCACCAATCGCCTCACCATCGTAAAAGCTGTTAGAGCAGACACAGTCTTTCTGTGAATCCTCTTGCATCATATTTGGTGTACCAGTCTTCCTCCATTACGCGTCAGAACTGGCGTATTCTCATAGATTAAATTGCTAGCGCGCAACTTTCCGCATTCAAATCTCTTTTTACACGCATTGTTAATGGCAGTTGCAGCGTCGTAGTCTGATACCGCATTGGAATGACAGCTATTATTACCTCAGCAGTGTGTTTTGGCCAATAACATTTCGACAGCCTCCTGAATTAGGGTAGATAAAGACGTACAGCAGAGGTCACTCAACCAGGCAGAATCTGGCTTACTGCGACGCTTGTACACGTTTGGCGTACAAACTTTGTGGAACCAAAATCCACACTCATCATGCTGCATACCTTCACTAACCAGGAAGTGGTAACTGGGTCGACCGCAAACGTAACAATCGCTCCCTATTTTATTCACCACTCAGCGAAAATCCTCAGTGGAACCGTTCTTGAACTGAAGTATTCGGCCAAAGCAAGGCCAAAATGATTTGAGTTGCAGTAACACAACAAAAGTGAACAACTGTGAAATATAGTGAAAAAGCCAACCCACACGGTTCGGTTGTTTTCTTAAAGGTAAATAACGAAGACCTTTCTAAAAATCAACCCAAGCCTCGAAATGATGGAACCCCAGGCGTTGACTGTATTACTTCAAGCCGCAGTTAGCAAAAATGTCTACGATGTGGATCACTCAGCAAAGGCTAAATATTTCAAGACGCCTGCATGTTTATCGTTAATTACCTGTTATATTTCAGCCTAGATAAAATTATTTGCCAAAATGTGAGGGTATATCAGCGTATTCCGAAAAAGCAGTGGTTGGATTCAAAGGGAATGTGAGTCATTTTATTCTCTACCTAAATTCCCTTAGATTGAGAAATTGTTTTAACTAGTTTGTAACTTTGGCGCTGTTTTCACGTTCTTTAGTCCGATGGTTAATTCCTTCGGTTTTTAATCCCATGATTTTGACCCTACTGGGTAGATTGTATACTATATTTTTGATATACGCTTCTCAATGAATGATATTGCTAAGTTATCAGGGATTTAAACTACCTTGACTTGTTAGCAACTGTTCGATTGGACAGATTTCATTCCGGATCAAGCAGCATTCGTACTGGTCCTTTTTTAATACGATATTCTACTTTTCTCAACCACCTGCAAAGAATTGCCAATCAGTGTGGGCTTCAGCTATCTTCAGGCCCATGTTCTGGTGGAGGAAATACAGCTGGATCGCTAGTATGGCGACTTACTTCCGAATGTTTCGCAGTCATAGTGGCCGCAACAAACAATTCTATTCCTGGTTCTGATTCGACTTACAACAATTTGCCTAAGCTGACGGACCTCATTTCATTCGCAGCAGTTTATTTTGAGTTCAATCATGATAAGGCCGTGGTGAGTTAATCATTTTTGAGTGAAATTCAAAGCAAAGTATTGTTCTTTGAATATGTAGGTAGATATTTGTTTGAGGTACAGGTTGCATTATCTACACGCTTGATAACGTTGTGCATTCCTGATCCAAATGCAGACTGCACCTTATTACCCAAAAGGCACAGTTCACCAAAGCAAACTAAGTAAGCTTTATTGCCAGATGCTCCTGGGGTTGTTTCCTCAGTATCACTATTATGGAGCCACATTATTTCATTGCAAATGATAGGTTACAATGTCAGCTTACATCCACTACAAGTATTCTGAATCAGCAGTCACCTGCTTGGATGTTTCAAGTCAGAGCTCAGCATACTATTTTAATACACGACTTCATATAAGCAGTTAGTTATTGGCTGTAGTCTTATCTGCTTTAGCGCATAAGCTTTTTGATGAGCGATCCTGACGACATTTTTAACACTTATTCACTTAGCTAATGCATATATTTGCAAGACCACTAACCGTACCAACCGTACTTGTGATGTTTCTTGCTCGTATCAATCATTCATTCAGTAACATAACACTTGAAATAGCTGCGAAACATCTCATCTTTCAACACTTCACACCAAGTTGTCAAGATATAATGAGTAATTGTAAGTAATATGATCAAAATCTGTAGGAATTATTAAGATAAGAATACAGATTTAAATAGCGCAAACTAAAGGAAAGGAGAGTTATCTATGCGTCCAAATCACTACAATCAATTCTAAGCTGTATCATTTATAGTAGTGAGATGGGGTGCTTTAAGTGCATAGTTTATGCACAGGTTAATATACATAAGTTGTGTTGGAAAATGGAGTTTTGGATTTAGACAGCATTTACTGGTTCTTGGTTCGCAAATGTTAGCAAAATTTATATCTAAACACCACTTCATGTATCTTAAGGTGCTTATGTTAACTACTTACAATGGGTTTTCTCTGGGGAATCGGCAACACGTATTTTCCAATCTTGTGGAAGTATTTTTCACTTCACTAGTGTAAAATGCCTGTTTTTCGGACAATGTTTGCCGTTTAATTGAACACAACCCCCAAGTAAGCTACATGTCACCACATAGTAACAATGTATTCTTCAACTAGAGATGGGGTTGAATTCGCCGGAACAATCTTGTGTAGCCAAATTTTAGTGTACTTCTATTCAACCAATCAGCAGCATTCCTCGGAATGACGGAAATTATTGGTTGAATACTCCTAATGATATAGCTCGAGATCGGTCACAGTGGGGCAGAGCACGTTTGTCATCCTGGACATACACATTTTGTCTGACCTCCACTTGTTTGCATTGTTACCTCATTCCCCCGTCCTGTGTATTGTTTTTGGTTCTGTTTTCGCTGCTCTCTGTTGTTAAGTATGACAATTTGAACTAACTCGCCGGCTTGTCTATCTGTCGCGTGCAGGTTGAACAGGGTATTTAGCATGCAGTGTTTGCTATTCAAGCATTTGATGAAGATTGAACACATTCTTAACGTGAAAGCATCCCGCCCTGCGTCTGACAAACCAATATAATACGCATAGTTGGTAAGGTATGATATTTGGTACTTTGATCACAACTGGTGGAAAACAAATACCTCAATTTTTAAGTGCACCAGTTGAGTACTGTAATAAAGTCGCATTAGAACCAAGCTATATACTTGAGAAACCTAATCAACTCACTTTCTTAAGTTGTGGCTTAATCATGCATCATGTCATTTTTTTAATGTAAACTTTTTTTGAGGTAGGCTTTTTACAAACGGTTTTCACCGCCAGAAAAGCACCAGATGTCAATATTGCTACTGCAGTGGGCCAGTTAAACTGCTTTCAGAACTCAAGGTTGCTTTGTATATTATTGACTAGCGTACCATCTACCTCGGTTTATGCCACCGGTGGTTCAAATAAAATGAAATAAATCTCGGTGGTTTTCAAGGACGTCAATCGTCGTCAGTTCAGCTACACAATGTAACCATCAGACCTTAGCTAAAAGTTGCACAATTTTTGACCTGGTGGGACAAAGCATCATTACATTCATTATCTTTCAGGACCAACAGCTGCTACCTTGACTTTGTAGTTACTCTTGCATGCCACGATGATCCAACAAACCATGCCGACGAGAGCGATTTTCCCTTGGGGTTCTACCGTGTCAGAAAGGTCTATCGGGTAGCCGTATGACGAAAGCAGGCATCGTTATAGGGTAAATCGGCAGGCAGTGATGGGGGTCTGAAGGCAGTCTTACTACTGGCTAGGTGTGACAACAATAAGGTGTTTTTCCCAGATGATGAGGAGCATCATGCTGGTGTTGACTTCTTAATTGGGCGTTGGGAAACATCGCCATTTCACTCTGTTCTCAAGTCTTTTGAACGTGGCTTCACGACTGCCCAGAAGCTTTCATTTCTTCCTCACATGATCTCCATGTCACCCTCCGACGCCCAACTCATAGTTCCCCCTTTGGGTTCCACTGGACGGCCTAACCTGGCGCGTGATGTCCCCAAATGGTTTTCTCAGTGTATGCCCAATCCATCACCACTTCCTTTTGCATGTTTGTTGGGCGATGGGTTCTTGGTTGGTTGGTTGCTAGACCAGGCCAGGCCAGAGTTCTTTGTTGCTTATTCTTATTATTCTAGCCATCTATCTGATCTTCAGTATCGAGTCAGCGTATGTGGGAGCTGTTCATGTATCTCTGCAGTTTGTTGGAAATGCTTTTCGTAATGCGGCAAGTCTCTCAACCATCACATAGAAGCACTCACTTGACTGAATTCGTTTTGAAAATCTGCACATTGTTCACGTATATGCTGAGTGCAGTGCAGTAAATCTCCACACTGATTTCAGATTAATGAAGGCCTGTCTTGCTGTCTTTCCAATCCTGGCTTTGATGTCCTCATCTGTGTTGCCTGTAGTTGAAACGATGCTGTCTAGGTAGGTAGGTGAAAGAGACAACTTCCCTTAGATTTCTCACGTTCATGGTGATCAACGCTTGCTGTTGTTGGTTGGGTATCTTCATCACCTCTGTCTTCTCTACGTTTACTTGAAACCCCATTTTCTCTTCCTCGCCTCTTCTGTCAACGTTTTGGTTTTCGCCTGTAGATCTTCCAGCTTGTACGACAAGACATTAGACATAAATCATCAACGGTGAAATCCAAATCTTACAGGGTCTTTTTATTGGTCAAACAGCGTATGCCTACCTTCTCGATCCTCACAGTTTGTTGCATGATCTAGTCCATTCGACAACAATGAGAAGGTCATCGGCTGGTAGTAGGCGGCAACCTTGTCTTACTCCTGTCCAAACTTCCAAGGCATCACTGAGCTTTCTATTGTCAATCACTTGGCATGTAGCATCATATAGTTTATAGCTGTTGAATGAGGTTGATAAAGGTTTGTGACACCAAAACCGTAGTGTTGAAGCAGTTTCCAAATTACTTCTCGGTTCACACCGTCAAAGGTCTTTTCAACATCGATGAGGTTGAGGTAAGGTGAAGAGTTGACTGCCATTCTATGCTCTGTTCCATGATGATGCGTTGCGTTGCGTTGCAGTTTGATCCGCATATGATTGGTTTTTGCTAAAGCCAGCCACCTTGTTGCGGTCGTAATTTTAAATGCAGAGTACTTTTTAGTCTCTCCAGGATGATGCGGCTTAATATTTTAGTTTCGTCCTTCAGTTTCTGTTCTGCTCCCCTTCTTCATCTTGTGTTCAGTAGGCTACGCCTCCACTTTCTTCAGATTGGAATTTAGTCGATCTGATCTTTATTATGTCCATCTGGTGAAATCCATGTCACTTTGTGAATATCCAAATGTTTGTGCACACTGCCTCCAATCACCAAATCGTTAAATGCGCAGAAGTCTGCAAGCAGTTCTCCAATCTGATTCATCACTTCACTGAGTGCCTATCGACCCATGGTTTGTTCTCTTCCTGTGTTGTCTGCTCCCAGTTTGGCATTCATGTCACCCCACCAATTACAATTTTGATGTCACCAACTGGAGTGGAGTCTTGTCCAGTGTTGATTGCAGTTGTCTGTAGAATTCATCCTTCTTCTCTTGATCTGCATAGTTTACTGGTGCGTAGCGTAGCACTGTATGATTGTGACTTTCCTTCCTTTTGAGTTGAGTCTTGCTGTCACGATCCTGATCCTGCAGGAGGAGATTGGTTCCCATTGCCTGAGAGCATTTGATGCTGTTGGGGACATCATAATGACCACTCGAAAACTCAGTGTGCTCGTGGTTGTCATCTGGGTGACAATATCGGAGTAGATTATTGACTCTGCTCTCCAGTTGACAGTTTGGAGAGTCCACTTCCATTCCATCTGGTTTCGCAGATTTCTAGCACTTCTATGCCATATCTTCTCAACACTTTTGCAATCTGGACAGCCTTGCCAGCCAGCTCCGAACACTGTGCGGACATTGCATGTCCCCATGCTTACTTTTGCTTTCATGATGAGGAGAGAAGACACATTGACCAATTGGCTTGGCTTTCTGAAGGCTTTCACCAACCGGAGTCATTTCGTCTCCTCGATTTTAAAGAAGAATAAGTTCATTTTTATATTTTCTATGTGCTTTGAATTTTTTTTAACGATTGGATTGGTTTTACTGGGTAGGGTTTCTAGCCCTATGCCCAACCTTCCCTCTTTATCCGGGCTTAAGGCCGGCTAGTAACCAGTTAACTAGTTTGGATATTTCGGCACTCAATTTCCCTCAGATAACAATCCACCTTCCACATCTTCGCCTTCTGTTCTTTCCTCACGTCTCCATCAGTATTCCTACTTCATTTTTAATTTGTTCTAGCCCTTGGCAACAATCCCAGTTCACAAAACAGCAACCCTCGTCTCCCGAAACCATGCTTCAAACTACATAACGAAGTTCTCAATGTCCGCACGTCTTCGAATCGTTAGGCGAATCTCTGGCATCTCGGATTTGGGCTGTGTTTGTGAGATGTTCACATATGATTCAAGTGCTGCCATTCAGTCGATCTCACCCGGCCCTTACGTTGAGTCTGAGAGTTCCTGAGGATTCGATTGATAGTTCTCGTGGTCTTGTGGGTGTAAGTATAGTATTAGGCGTTAAGGTAGAAAGTGCACTACTCGATTGGATCCTAGTTAACAGTCGCCTGTGTACTGTTTGACTAAATGAGTGACTAACAAAATCAACGTAGAAACTCCCAGACGTGCATCGGCTCGAGTTGCCACACTTCACAGCAGTACGCAAAGAATAGGTGGATAGAAAAAGTGTTGTAAAAGAAGGTAAATAGCGTGACAGAATAAACAATATGAAGACAAATGTTAGTGCGAATTTTCAAGGGTTAGATAATGTTAGGGAGTGAATAAATCTGCGCCATTGTAACCGGCTCTCACCCATGTCACCAAGAGTCCTCAACCACTTATCCGTTTCATCTTGGAAATCCCACCCACATTGTCTATATCTCCCCACACAGCTCAGAGGAACAGTAAGAGACTTCATGGACTGGTGCAACGTCTTGGTCTGGCCACCCTGAACCCTCTTTCAACCTAATCCAACACCCCCTAGCCCTGCACGTTGAGGTAGACGGTGGCTTGGCATGTCCAGTACATTTACAAGCCACCTTAGCCTATAAAATTTTACAAACCCATCAATCGACCTGCCTGTCGTGCCTATTAGCCTTCCGGTGACTTCCACGTTGCTCACAAGGTGATTCCACCAAACGCAAGCAATGCTACGAAGACATCTGTGGTCAAAACTGTGTAATCGCTTCATGTCTTCTACTTTTAATGTCCATTTCTCACAACCGTGCAACAGGAGAGGACGAACTGGAGCTCAGTACACTTGTTCTTTGATAGATAGTCGGGTATCTCTCCGGGGCCACAGGTGATGCAAGTTAGGAGATGCTAGATGGGGCTTCTGTATCCAAGTGGAGATTTCGTCAGTAACCAGCCCGTTTGGGCTAATGCAGTTCCTCAGGTAAATGAAGTAGTTGACACATTCCACTACTTCACTCCCTATCCTTAAACCAGGAGTAGTTGCAGACCAGTCCTGAAACAGTCTTACATTTGAAAGATGGGGAACGCACGTTAGCCAAATATATTCACATTTCTGCTCAACGCGTTCAAAAGATCCTGCATTTCGTCAGCCTCTTAACATAGCAGGATAATGTCGGCTATGTACTGTGAGTCAACCAGATATCTTTCAGGGAGTAGATCAATTCCGGTGAAGTCAGACGTAGCTAAGGCTATGTCCACTGATACATCTATGGTGAAGTTGAGGAGGAACAATGACAGCTGGCATCCCTGATGAACACCGTTAGTTGTGATCACTTCAGATGACTAGTCTCCATAAGCCCTGATACGGCTGCGTGAGTTCCATTGAAGAGCTTCGATATGTATTATATGCTTTCCTGGTACTCTTTTCATAGTCAGACAGTGCCACGACACCTCACGATCAGCAGTCGAATGCTTCCTGCCTTCAAGTCAACAAATGTGGCAACTGTTGACCACCGGTAGGTATGTTTGTGTTCCGGAACCTGTCAGGGGTGAAAATCGGATCTATGCACCCTTGTCCAAGTCTGAATTCTGCTTGGTTCGCTCGAATTTGCCTTCCTGTAGTTCCAGTTAGGTACCGGATAACTATGAACCCTAATATCTTGGACACAATATTAGTCAAACTAATTCCTCTATAGTTGTCACAGGAAGATTTCTCCTTATAGACTAGGATGATCAGTTTAGTACACCAATCTAGTGGCACTACATATGATTCCCATACACTACCTAGTACCAACGTCTTTAATCAGCAATTTCATTCATCCTTGAAAACTTGAGATGCTACTTTACATCGCATCATGTTCGAAACAGCCTTTTCAACTTCAAGGGGAGTTAGAAGACCAACAGCTACGTCACATTCAGGTTTAGATTGGATGTTGGGCAAGTAAAGCGTTGCTGAAAACCAGTTAAACTGTTTAGTAGTGTTCTGCCCAACGTTTTGACCTGCTGCCTTGGGAAATTATCAGCGTTTCATCCTTTTCGGTGATAATTTCACTCACCATTGTTTGCTTTTTGCAGGTATTCCTAATAAGTCTGAATAGTTGCCGAATGTTACCCAACGCTGACTAAATTATTGAAGACGACAAAAAAGTGTAGTAGAACTCGCTGTTGTCTCTTTGTAATCACTGCTTACCGACTACAGTTTGGATGAAGTGAAGAATGAGTTCTGCTCAAAACCAAACTTTCAGATGTCATAGCGGGTGATTTTAGTGCGCAAGTGGGTAAGCTGTCAGGCAGAAAGGGTGTAATTGTAACTCATTGGTTTTGGAGAGCGTCGCAGATTTGAGCGCTGCTCTACCTACTGAGGTTTAGGCAACCAAATAGTACCATCATCCTTCACAATCGGTGTGGCTGATTGACAACTATACGACTATGCACAGAGTTGCTGAGGGGGTTTGTTTCTTTTCTGGTGGAAACACGGGTGACACTTTCTTAGTTGTAGCCGGACAAACGGATAACGATGATCACACGCTACAACTTTGCTCAAGCAACCATGTGTTTCTGGCTAGCATGAACTTCAAAAGTAAAGGCAGACATTGTATGCTGTGACATCCATTGGCTTGACTCAGTGGTGGGCACATAGATGATATTGCTTTCGGTTATTACTGGAGAGAGTTGGCGGAACATTCTTTCTCCTTCCGAAGCAGGTGTTTGGACAGTGACCACACATTGGTTTGAGTACGCATATGTCTACACCTAGCTAACTGTGGGAAAACAAAAGCTATAAGACCATTGCGAGTACAGCTCGATGATGAAAATATTAAGACTTCCTTCAATGAGGAACTTGCTAGAATGGGACAACACTACTCATCCAAAAAACCTGGCTCGTGCATTCTATCAGGAAAACAGGGTTGAAGACCTTAAGTGACTCTCAATAAGGGGTTAAAAAGGGACAATGAGTCTTAACTTCTTCAGAATAAATGGACGCATCTGGGTGCATGTCCAGAAGCTTTGAGCATAATAAGGAGCGAAGGCGGATGAAATGTAGACTTTGGAAGTCTGCACAATGACCATGAGCATTGGTGAACTGAGAAACCTGAAGAAATCTGGGATGTAGCGGCAATAGGTAACGGCAGACGCTCACGTAATCTGGTCAAGAGAATGCGTAAATGTGAGACTAGCGGCGAAAAACTGGTCTACGATCCCCTCATAAGAGGAAGCGGAACGAACGATGGAACACTAAGGAATATTTCAGCTGACTTCCTGCGACTATTCCATTACCTGCTATCCAGTTCAGTACTGAGTAGAGCAGTAAGACAGACTCTCCAACCCTTGCAAACGTTGAGAACTCTGTAAGTAATCTGAAGCAAGGAAAGGAAGCAGGATTAGATGGACTAGTATCACAGGTATTTAAGAACACTGGTCGTGGGTTATTGGCCAGGTTAACTAAAATGTCAACATTTGAAGGTCAGGTATGACTTCTCTAACTGGTCTCAATTGCTGATTATCCAAGTCTTCCAGAAAGAACCTGCGAAAATTAGTCTACCGAACATAGTGTCTAAGATCTTCGGATCTAAACTCACTAGACACCTAAGTGAAGCTACTGAGTAGCGAACTAGAGAAAGCTAGGTAAGTATCAAACCTGGTCACGAATGTTTCAACCAGATATTCCGTTTCTGTCAGATTTCGGGATAGGTACACTTACAGACTCTCAGCACTAGCCATGTTCTTGGACCTGAAGGTGAGATAGAATTGTATTGAATAATAAGTCTAACAGAAGTGTATCTCATTGAAAGGGGTTCCGGGTAATTACATCACTGTTGAAATCCCCGTGGAAGTTAAAGCCTGTGTTGAGGCATGAAGTGAGTTATGCACTTCGAGTGGTGTTTGTTATGGATATCTTTCTCCATTTTCATTGAATTCGGTCAGGAACCAAATGCACACTTCTCGAAACCTTGAGTAGTAATTTTAGAATATCTGTGATGCATTTTTCATCACCTAAATGCAAATTGTTTTTCTAGAATTGGTCTGCATTGATGCCCTGGCTAACAATATGGGACGAAGTGGCTGAGCGTGTTAACCACATCACTTGAGAAGTTGTATTAGACGAAGTCTTAGAAAATCTTCATTGATTGGTTGTCTTTGGGAGCCGTTAAAGGTTAACAGTATATTCGAAAATGTTTCGAAGTAATTAGAAGTAACCATGAGTTTTGTCCAACTGTTGAAATGAGTAGTGCATTATTGCCGCTGATTCTACTGTCTAGATTGTTCATTTAAAACCATAATTAAGAAATGCAATGACCCCAACTTCTGTACATTTGCACCAGTTTTATGGCTTCTGTAAAACTAGTAACTAAATGCAACCTTATTTAGTGAACGCCGATCTTACTTTTAAGCAAAGGTCTCGTCTTTATGAATTATTGGTTTAATTTATTCAGCCTTGTCCGGAACTGGCAACTGATCTCAGTATGGGGAAATACAGCTCGTTACTTCAGCATGTAGATAATCTACTGACAATATATGCAGTTCCAGGCGATAAGTAAGTCGTTTTTCTTATTCAGGTGCATAATGGTAATTGATGAAGTCATCACTGAATGTATCCTTTGAAGTGATCAATTCTAGAAGTATTTACTCACATCAATATGCAGCGGTTAGACTGGCAACTGTACATTTTGTAACAAAGAATAAATTATTATTATTATTGCTACTATTATCTATGTATAATTATTAGTTGTACACTGCATGAGACTTAACAAATGTGGTTCGTGGTCTAGTATATAAAACTATACCTGGCTATTGATGAACTGCTTTGTCAGAAATACTGTTGTGGAAATTATCAATAGCAACTAGGAGTTAGAAGTCGATTTTCTCACCATGAATTTCAGTTATGAAATGGAAAATCTATTGAAAGTATGTGGTATCTGTGGGAACTTCGACAACTAGTTTCAAACATCTAGCTGTATACATAAATGATCGTTACTTGGACACCTGAATCATTTATGCTTATTGCTATCGTGGCGAATGTTTTCATCGTGTTTTCAAGATCAACTTGTTTTGCACATGTATATATTAAACTCCAATTGTGCTATCATTATTGTTATTGGGGTGAATAAAAGAAATTAAAATAATGCAACCCAATCGGTTACAAGTATCCGTACTAGACTATAAGCCAAACTTGATACACGAAGGCTTATGATACTACGTTATCACTGAGGCTGAAGTAAATTGAGCTGAGTTTGGTCTCGAGCCAAGTGCGAGCCGATGAATAACATATCTACACTTGGGATGCATGTATTGTGTTGAAAACATCTTGCTGTAGACTCCGCGTTCTTATTATTCTCTTCATTCCTGGATATCTTGTGGTAACTGTATAAAGGAAGTGAAGCAAAAACAAAATGATTCTTGTTGTGGTTAGTTTTTATGTATATTTTTGGAATTCCACTATCAAATGTCTACATTTCTTGTTACATCCACTTTGCTTCCCAGTTCTTCACGACTAATGTCTAGTTTGATTAACATATATTTGCATGAATTTTTCTTCTATGTTGTTAGTTTCCCTTTGGTATGAAGTGCGGTGACTTGAAATGATGCACAATTACACCAGATACCATGGTATCTATGCAGTCTTGTTTTCCTGCTTTATCTCATATTTTGCGTAGATGACAGTAATATTGGCTGATTAATGTATGACATTGTAATATGTTAAACTTTATTTGCATCCTTGTGACTAGATTGTTCAACGTAATCAAGTTAAAATTCAGACGATTTATGTCGATAAAGTCACTTGACAGTTGGGAGGAAAAGTGATGTTTACTGTTTCCGTAACCACGTTGTGACACCTGATAGATAGCTTCCATGGAATAAAAATATTTCATGTTCTCTTCTCGTGTTTAGACTTTGGATAAGTAAAGGCATAAGAAGCAACATTAGCATAACTATTAGAAATCACTGGATAAAGTGTTTACTGTGTCTTCATTTTTATCATGATTTGTTGAATATTCAAGACACTGGTGCTTTGTGAAGATAGGATTCTTGTTTCCCCATCCTGTTAAGCAGACTAGCCAGTTTAAGACTTCAAATATCTTGTTCTTTTTAACTGATATCAGTTCTTCGTAAATAGCCGCTTCCTGCGAATAAGTCTTTGTATATATTTATTTTGACCTCCCTTTATTATGGAAATAAATTGTGTGAACATCATAACGTTTTTTGTAATACTAATTTGTCTATCAGTTAAAGAGACCACTTTTTTCTTATACTATTCTTTAAGGATTGATAGGGCTCGGACCTATTTGTGTTTACAGGCTCTTGAAAAGGACCTCAGCATGTTGACTCAAGCAATGAGAACTGACTTGGAAAACAATACGGATACCATAAATACATTCAGACGAGCACCGAATCAAAAACACGATGTATTTAGTATGCGTGACCTGGTAAATCACTCACTTGTTGGACACTTCGTTGGACGTACAGGAGGTCGATTAGCTCGGCTTACATACTTGGTCACATCGGCACAAGCAATGATAGGCAATGCAACTGGTGTATTAAAAAATAACTTACAAATGAACTCAAAGGGTGTTTGTTCGACAACCATTGGTTGTGGATCTCGTGATGGTTTAATTGGAGGATATATGGCACGTATAGGACTTTGTCCTAGGCTATCATACGTTGAAGATACCTCCACAGCATGTCAATCTGCAGTTCAGAGACTGCCGTTTATGCCACTAGTTACACTACAAAAAGATGCATATGGTATGAGGTAAGTTGTATTCTTCAAACTTTTCGAATAATAGCACCGTTTCGAAACATTAATCAGTCTTAACCATTTGGATATTTCTCTTGATATTTCAAATAGATATTCAACAATCATGTAAATCAACAAGTTTCGCCTACTGTTTTAATTATATTTAAGTTGGTACTATTATTTCACCTATTTAGTTTATTGCAACTACTTATCTCCACGTTGACAAGTATAAGCAATCTGGCTTCGGATTCAGACGTGCCTATGAAGCATTTCGGAAGTAAATCTGCAATGAGGCTATACAGGATTCGAAAAGAGGAATCCTTTAACCATGATTCTAACGGAAGGAGGCTACATGTGGTACACGATCATCCACATATGAAAAAAATTCAGAAACATTTACTGAACACATCCATTTTCATTTCCAAATAATGATTTCACACTAAAAAAGCATGTTGATTAGTTTTTCCTTGCCCTGAAAAACGATATCGTCCCTTCTTTAGTCAAAAAAATAATGCACCTCCGCCCGGTGTATTTACATGTACTAGGATATGAGTCGAAGTTAATGTATCATCCTGTAACTTCAAAAACTTGTTGATTCAAGTAGATACCTCTTAATGCTACCTAGGATGAAAACTAAGAAAAAAATGTCTGGAATAAGAAGACACGGAGAGAATTAAGCTGAACAGAAAACAATCGAGCTTCGAAAATGTACCATAAAAAGCAAAATAACACCAAGAATTGACAAAAAATAGTACCCAATATGAAAATAACTACAATAGTAGTAGCAAAAGCAAAATGAATATTTGAGTGAAAAGTCTAAGAAGGAGCAACTAAATCATAATTGGCGTATACTTGTTCATCGTGTTAAAGTTTGTTGTGTTTGGTATGTCAAATGCAAAGCGGAAATACATTGGAATTGCAACCGGTGCCGATTTTCAGTGGTCTAGTGTTTTCACAAGCTAATGAGTCTCAATTTTTGGAAGTTCACCCAAGGAATCGAGATGCACTAGCAAATAATGTAAAATGAGTATCCTTCGTCTCATTACATCAAATCTCAAAATAACCACTTTTTTCGTTCCCTCCAACAAGTTGCATCTCCAAATATTAGCTGTTATAGAAGCCTCTTGTACAGCATGTATTAAGTCTGTCCAAGCTCCCGAAAACTAGTATTTTATGATAATTCCACTGACTGGGGGACTGGCGTGTAACAAAAGCCGCTGGGTCTCAGTATTACCTGCATGTTCTTAATACCAGTTATGGGCAGTGCTATGGACATAACAGTGAAGGTCGTTGAATGCCCACAATTCAGAGTGATGAGGTCTCATTGATGTAGAGTAGAACTGTCGACATCCGACTTACCTTAGGAGCTTTCCTATGATTTTTCATGATTTAACACCAAGAGCGAGTGCAGTCACAAATTTCTGTCAGTCTTGTATCGCACATACGCAACTTATGGACACTGACCAGGCGCAATTCAGATAGCCTGTCTGGCTTCATAGAACAAGACTACAACGTCTGTAAACCCGCGGTCGTAAAGTCTTTCTGGATAGCAGATTTATGCTCCTATTATTCACTCCGTAGTTGTTTTGAGGATGTCATCGATAATAAAGTTACAAAGAACATCAAAATTCTGCAACACCCCTAACCCCAATTTCGATTTGAAACAGTAATGAGTGGTAGTTCTATGGTCTCAATATTCCCTAAACCTCTTTCTGTACTTATAATTTGATAAACTCTTAGAGGCATCTCACTATCAAATAATTTAGGAACCTAAACAAACACTGGTGTTAAGAAACAAATCAGTTATTGGTGTGCAGCAAATTTGACGATTTCGAAACGCCTGACACGGTGAAAGTGTCATCAGTACATTAGTGAAATCCAGGTTGTGGCTAAATTTATTAGCAAAAGACAAATTGCTGATCGTTTTTTACATGGCATGGTTTATCGTGATTTCATTAACTGACTTGATATTCATTTAGATTCATATTCATGTGGCTGTAGACATTTGCATATCTTAAAATTAGTGAATCTTGATACACCTGTCTCAATTTCGCATTTTACGTCTCTACTATTTTACATTTACTCCTTATTTCCTATGTATTTTCGAAGTGTCCCCCACTTCGCTCAACCAGATGAGATAAAGTGCATTTCAATTGAGGCAGAATTTGTGCTACACTTGGATCCTCCATTACCAATTTCGACAGATGCTGTTCAGCAACTTGAACGGATAACCGGTAAGCCTCCATTTCTATCCGTGCGTTCATTTCTTTTTCAGTAAAAAACTGCAAATGGTATGGAGTACTAAGTTGTAGTTTTACTCTCAAGTGTTACAAAACAACACTACACTAGAGTTAAGAAGTAAATTATGATCTACTTATAGTCTTTGAATTAGAAATGTAGTCAGCATATCGTAATAATCACATATTTCGTGTATGCAGCTGAGGAGTCTCATTACTGTCAGTGTATTAAGATAATTAGATTCCTATATATATATATATATATATATATATATATATATATATATATATATATATATATATATATATATATATATATATATATACAAAGCCGTATAATGCTGTTACATTTTTATGACTGTCGTGATATAATGCCAGATGACCAAAGACGATCTACTAAACGATCGATCGGTCGAAAGCTGATTTCCTCTGACCATTTTGTCCAACCATTTCGACAGTTCCTAGCTATCCTGTTTGTCAGGAGTAAAATTTTTTGAATATATATTTTAACCCAATTGATTTTTTTAGTGTCCCCTTTTCTGTTTTTGTAAATTGCATCGTCAGAAATTCAATGAGCATCTAAGACTCTGCCGTTTAGATCGGTTAAAATAATCACCAACTGTAGTCTGAATGTTTAAAATCACCAACTGTTTTGTTACAATGGTTATCCGGTCAACTTTTTTGGCTTGCAGCAATGAATAGTTTGTTTTTTCTGCATAACATCACGTCTCAGTGCAACAGTTTGACTAACTATATATTTTATATGACAGGTTATGTGGCACGACGTCTGCTAGTTTTCTTACGTCTATACAGGTTATTTTTAAGAACATGTGAATTATGTTTCTAGGCCCACTTCTAAGGCATACATGTTAGCCGTTATTCTAAAAAACTGCAAAATATCTGCGATTGCCCACATAACTGAGATCAGTGGCCAGAGAATTCCTGCTTTGTTTTTATTTCTGCTCTTAAAAATCCCCAAGTCTTCCCACCTACCAATATCCAGTAACATAATTATACGTTTTGACCATCAAGGCGAAAAGTACTTTTGTGATAATGTTAGGAGCCTGTCTCTGTACTATCAGTGATGAAACATTCGAAACATGGTCGGTATTCCTGGATTTAAGTGGTCGCTATGAGTTCGGGTGTAAGTGTGACTTTTGACATTTCCTCCTCGTATATTGAAAACCAGAGTGAAATACATCAATCTAGGTTACCTCTGGCACCGTCGTAAAACTAGTTTGATTGTATAAAGCTGGTTGTACAACACGGTTATGCGTAGTTCTGCTCTACATCTGTCAGGTAGGCCGCTCCAAGCTGAAGTTATCCTATGGCTCTTTGTATCCTATCACCACTCCCGGAAGCTTGCTGGTATTGTAGTGGTCGTTGCTGATAATGGATATAAGTAGTATATGTTGAGAGGGTGGCAGAAATCAAAGGGAATTACCAACAATGGGTAAGGATTCCGCCAAGACAAAAGCAAGAGACAAGGCAGGCGTATGAAAAGCAAATCAAGAAAGAAGCAGAAGGGGAGATGAAGCACATTTTGCAAATGACGGTTTTAGTGCAAGGTACACCATATTTAACGACTACTGTCCCATTGGTTGACATCAAAGATTCTTTCCTTCATACCTGTCTCTTTGCTTCTTTCAGTATCAATTAGGAAAAGTCTAACCCACGTCAACCTTTCACACATTTTGATAAACCCGTGTAGTATAACGGGAATCGTTGCTTTTGACGCAGCTGATAACGGGCCAATACCCCATTTGTTCCAATTTACATTACTTGGGTGCCTTTCTAACATACGAACGATGATAGTATAATACTTTAGTCGTTTTCTACACCGATGTACTGAGATGCGTCAAAAGGTTTCAAGAGATTCGTAGAGACCCAGTGTCTACTAACAAGATGTTCGTCAAAGACGCAAGCAGCTGGACTCCTTCTCATGACGTCTTACGGATGCAGCGGGTGTTCATTTATACTTCCTCCTGGTTTGATAGTTGGTCTTCGTTTTAATCAATTTTGTATTTGGCTGGATTACCAACTGTAATCGATCTGCCCATGTAAACCAAGATGACTATTCCGATATCTACCAAAGCGCAAGATCAACTTAGCACACACTGAACCGTAATCAACATCTAAACAAGTACTCCACAAGGAGCGGTAGTTCTGAACATTGCCACACCACCGATGACTGGTCACAACATGATGCAGTTCAGGCTTGAGTGACAGAAAAACATTGATTATCACAACGAAAAAGACTAACTAAAATTGTTACTGGCAAGGAAAAAGTTAAAAATGTACGCAAAGCTGCAGAGACGATCCCTGCTGTTACCTACGACTGACCAATTTTGTTTGGTTTTCCGACCGACTTCCCTATCAACCTAAACGGCTGACATGCGCATTGAAATGCCAAAGTAGTGGCGTAGCATTTGTTGAAAGCATTTAGTTGAGGTCATGCAGTTGTTGATAGGATTCATTCTTGATTGCAGTCCATCAGAGCGTAGGTAGACATGAAGAGATATCGTTTTCTTTGTGAGTTAGTATTTACTGTAATTGATCAGTCTGGTCTAGTGAAAAAGACTGTTAATAGATATCCAGTTGACTAGTGTAGCTTTAGTCGTGAGGTTTAGTGCGACATGGATACCAGCAAGGTTGGGTGTCCGTGACACGGTTTCCGAATGACCATCCACCATACACACCTTTCCATCTTGTAGATGAAGAATTTATTTGAAGAACTTAGTTCGGACCTTGTATGTGAGATACAGTAGGGCTTTCTAGAGTCCCAGAAAAACTTCGTTTTTATCCAGTCTGCATCAACGTCAAAACGTTAGCGTCCAACTGAAACGAATTCGTTATAAACGATCTACACCATAAAAAATTTTCCTGATGTAGTCCTGTACATGTTAATGTGCTGTAAACTACAGCTATTGTGAGAGCTTTTAATACTACCTGGTTATCCAATCTGAAGTAGGTAGAGTGGTGTTAGAACCCATGACCTATTGTTTGAAAATCAAGTGCTTTAATCGAGGAGCTAAAACTGTCCTGTTAATTTATTCTACCCTGCATTCATGAGGCCTCTTCAACAAAAAGCAACAACTTTATAATTGTTAATAACTAATGTGGTTTGTATTTTTTTGTCCTCATTTTCAATACAAAGGTTTAAGTAATACAGAGATCGCGGATCATAAAGAAAAAGATATTGTCTTATTGATTCTCCAACAACACAAGCAAGAACACTTATACGGGATAAATACTCATTTAGTGAGTTGTTATTTGGCTTCACATTGTTTTCTGTTTCCTCTTAACATCTAGTCTGTGTATGTGTAATTCGTGTCACAATATGCAAAATACAAATTGATTCATACCGTATTGTATGTATACTATAATTTAAAGTAGCATCTACAAAGAATGCTTTTCTCTTTTATGACTTTAAGAATGAGTTTTTCAGTTTGTTGGCACTCCGATAGGATAGACAGCTTCATTACATAGATTCGCTAATAACTCGATTGAATTCATATATACTTCACAAGAAGTGGCTAGAGAAAAATCGTTATTTTGAACATTAAGCTATCAGAACAATCTGTGTGCTTCAATAAAGCATGATATCAAGGGGTAAATAATCTTTGCCGGTGTAAATTTCGCATATTTCGTATCTTTACCTACTTCCCACTCCACTCACTCACTGAACTCCAGTTCATTTTAGTTGAATCATGTAAGAACCCGTCATGAATATGTGATGTAATTAAATGCAAATCGGAAGTTTTGGTCCCATTATTTGCCTTTTCATCTCCTTCATTTGAGCAGTCTTGGGTTCTGATCTCACTTTATTGAATTTGTCGATCACAGGTTCATTACCTCTTTCACTAACTGCTTCAATTTACATTTTAATTCTTCTTTATTGTTCAATGGATTTCCTTTGCGTTCTATTGCTGTTTTAACTTTGCCTGTTGGGATCAGAGGAGGTAGACGTAGATATTTGGGCTTACTTTAGTTTTCAAGACATGAAATACTGAATGCACGACGATTTGTAAATTTAGCTTCTGTCTATGAAACTCCTGTGAGTTTGTTGGTTAGTTTTTGGACGTGATGACCATATGTTTTCAATATATTAACGGAAGCTCAGTTGTTGAGTGTAAATAATAGAAATGTGAACAACACTGTAGTGTAGGCGTATCAAAGCTAATGGTTATCGAAATTTTTGTGAACTAGCTATATTTTTAAAAAGTTCATTGCTAAATTATTACATGGTTCAGATTTCTTCATAAGTTCCTGTTATTCTAGAAGTGTACAGGTTGATACTATTGCTTTTTTGTCATGCATCTGTAAAACTGTTCTTTTATTCGGACGTCGTAGTAAAACAGTCTGAAGTGCATCGTCGTAGTAAAAGCGGAGTCGGTTTCATTTCAAAAGAAAGTTGTTCTTTTCTGATTTAACTTTCACTAAATCATTTTTCACCAGTTTTCGGTTACAGCTAGCATACAATACAAAAAGTAGCATCAGCATATTCCACTTCTAATTTGCTCATACTGCTTTGATGTACATATACACGCTAGAGATGAGGTCTAATAATATCATTATTAGCCAAGTCAATTTGCTTAATCCAACATTTCGTCACTCTTGTCATACTGAGCCCCTTTAGTGTTACAGAAACTCATCTGCTAACTTAATAAACATCAACGTCCCAGGACTCTTCCTGTTACCAGTTAGCAAAAAGGTATTCAGAAAGCTAAGATGACTTCATTACTTACACATGCCTATAAAGTGTTAGGCGAATTTCTGAGTTACCGACTGTTGTTTGTATCCCAGATAGCTGGTGTGAAACATTCTTTTGTGTAGATAATCATGATGTTTTTGTTCGAATTTAACTTCCTGAGTTTTTGTTCTCACTTACTCGACCCTTTATTTAGCAAAATCCAAATCTTACGCAACATTGCTACCGAATTCAAAGTGATGTCAAAGGTTATCTTGTCAGCTGTGTTCCTTTCACTTGTTCTGATCAGATTGGTGAGATTATCTCTATCCTTCGTAAACAAGCGTCGGCTTTGGCATTTTATGAAACGTTTATTGTTCATCCTGATAAACCAGTAGAGAAAGGTATGTTTACATAATTGGTCATTCCATATACTCTGACTTTTGACCCTGAGAACTACCTATTTTAAAACTTATGGATTCCACGTAATTGATAGCATACCTGAATGCAGTTATGCTCATTGAAGGTAGCTAGTAAGACTTGTGTGAATTCATAAATTTTTCAGAATGTTTTGCTTTACATTGATTTTCAGAATGTTGTATTATATGCATTTGATAATTTGGAGTGATTGAAACGGTTAGATTTCAATCTTTATTTCTTGTGTTATCATTTTTGCACTCCACCAAATGAACTATGTTACATAACTATCCAGTTGTGACATTCACCTTACTCACTTATTACTGTCTTCCGTTTTCATTTATCCAAGATATTCATCTATTCACATTCTGTCATATTAGCTACTGAGCTTGATTATTCTTTGGAATACCACGTGATTGTTATAAATATGGAGGATAATGTGTAGTGTAGAGTTACCAGATAAACTTGACATTTTCATCCAACTATGTACTTAGAAAAGTCTCTATTAATAGTATTCTCTAAGCCTGATCAATATTTTAGTCAAAGAAGTATATGAAGTATGTAATTTGCAAAAATCATGCAAGCGTTTACATTGTTCTTTAGTCAGTTTTTTTATTGAAACGTTTCACGCTCCACCTACCGAGGTTTGGACAGCCAAGTAGTATAATTAACCTTTACACAATAAGTGTGGTTTATCGCTTTTAGCACGAATGTGCATACAGTAGCTGAGAGCATTTCGATTCCGATGAAATAATAGTAATAATGAGCTATATACGGGGTACAGTGTGTCACTACGTTATCTCTTAAATTGAAGTTGCCTTGTTGTTTTTTTATTACCGAATAGCCTCATCAGAGTAAACGTTTGCACAGCAGATAGTTTAGTAATCTAGTAAAAAAAAGGTTAACTGTAGAGTTGCAAATGAAGACTATTTTATTACTTGCTATCTGTGATTACTGATATCTTTAGGAGCACACTTTATGGTCAATTATATAAATCTACCGTATCAGTTGTTCAGATTTGTGGGCAGTTAAAAAAGTGGATATAAGTTTTGTTGTATCTTTACTACCGTGTAAAGACGATAATCACGACTACTTAGATGAAAAAATGTTTCGAAATCAACAGTCAGCTCCATTTTCAAATTTTTTGATAATTATTTTGTAGAGTGACTGTAAAGGCTAACCTGATGAACAAACCATTTATTGCCATGCTGCTGAACCTGTCAGCTGTGTTAATATCCCATATAAGAGTGATTTCACTGAAAACGTTCAGAGTTTGAGGTAATACGAATTTTTAGGTCAGGACGAGGATGACAATTCTTTGGTATTCTCTTACCTTTGGTATTTGAAGTGGACGTTTTATCAAGATGCATAAACGTTGATATCATTCTAAAATGTGCCTCACTTTTTGAAGCTAGTGTTGATGATACCACCAAACCTGGTGCTAAAATATCCACGGTAAAATACCAAAGGTCAGAGAACACTGAACAATTATTATACTTAAAATTAAATAACCAATTAGTTGTCATCACTGATTTGAAAAGAAGGTAATTCTTAAAAGTTAAACTAAAATCCAGGTATGAATATTTACAGTTAGTTTGTGCAGTGTATGCAGTAACTCACATTGGAAAGCTATAAATAAAGTATATAAGCCGAATATTTTTCCCTTCATGCATACTCGATTTTTTGAATATCCATATTTTAATGGTGTTTGGTAAGTGAATTGAGAAATTCTACCCAAGTCTTTATAGGGTTGCTTTGAATTCTTCGAACCGAATTGATTGAAGGCGTAAAAATCACATCTTAATCATTGCGAAGTTTATCGCCTGCCATTCTTAAGAATTTCGCAGCCTAATATTCTAATCATCTTTTTCGCTTTGTTTTTCACTAGGTTCTTAACTACGAATTGTTTGTTCGTGGTTAAGAACTTTGCATCGTCCCCGACCTGGTAACAAGACGGTATCATAAACTCTCATATATGTAGCTCATAACCTAGCATAAAATGAACTACATGTTATTTTAAGGTTTATGATATTGTTTCGTTGCCTAGATCAAAGAAGACAGTGTAAAGTTCCTAATCATAAACAAGTAGTTCGTCGTCGGGACTCTTCAGGAAAAATAATGATCATACTTAGAATGAATTGACTCGAAAGTAGTGGAACTGTGGTCTTATTGATCCAGTCTGTTAACTTTCAACCAGTAGATACGAGTTCAAATTCTGCACTGCTTACTGATGTATAGACTGCTATATAGTACCGTTTATCATCACATGATAGGTGTGGCTGAGTACACGTGCTTGTTGAGCATCTATTTACTTCAGTATATAAATGAGTGCTGAGTTACCAAGTTGCACATTTTTAAATGCTGAGTTTAGGCGCAGTTCCAGGCAGGGAAATTCATTCTGTCGGTTAGGATGCGAATATGCATCTGATGAGATAGCTGACATAAAGTCATTGCGTATACTGATGTGTTATGTTGGTTGGAGCAATGTCAATGCAGAAAGAAGATAACAATAACCAGAGCGAAACACAGCACCGACCCATAAAGTCACCGAATATAGATTTGACTAGTGTAAAGAAGTATAGCCTTCTGGATCAGAATGCTTGAGATGTTGAAAACTAGTGGTGAAGACCGTTGATGACGTATCTTTAAATATGATCGCTGTGGCACAGACGCATTCAATTTCCAACATTATTTTATTGTTGATCATCATTTCACTCCGCCTTGGTTCTCTGAGCTAGTTGTGTAGTAATCCATACAAGTCAACTTGTTACAGGTATTCATCTAATGCGCTACGAGCCAAACTTATTGTGTTAGGGTCTGTAATACTATTTAGTCTTTCAGACTAAAGTGGATGGAGTGGAATTTGAATCCTATTCATGTTCTTGTTTGTTTAATGTTTCTATTTTTCTTGAAATATTCAGCATGTTAAATCGGTACATTTTTCTATTGTGTTCTGCATATATTGCTTTGATAATCAACTGTTTATCCTTTCAGTGACATCTCCGATTTCAAGTTGTTATTCATCGTAAACTGACATGAGTTGGAGGAACAAAGGAAAACTTGGGAGCACTGGACAGCTGTTTCGTCCTAGTATGGGACTTCTCAGCAGTGCGCACCCATGACCCCGCCAGGGATCGAACCCGAGACCTTCAGGTTTCGCGGCCAGCGCTGCAAGTGCTCCCAGGTTTCCTTTGTTCCTCCAACTCATGTCAGTTTACGATGAATAACAACTTGAAATATTTCCAAATCTCCACAACTCCCTCAATAATTCAACATCTCCAATTGTTTATTTATTTCAGATACTGCAATGACGTTTACATTTAATATCAAAATCATGGCTGGTCAAATGGTTTCACTGGAATTTGATGATCCTAAGCATTTTGGAGCAGAAATTCATGGTAATTACCGAATTATTTCACGATCTGTTTTTCAAATACAATCAGTTCGTATATTAGCGTAACCTGTATGTTGGTCGTAATTGGTTAGGCATCCTTATCAACTTGCTTTTCTGAGAAGTGGTTGTAACTGTATTTGTTGTGACTCTGTAAGCAGCATAAATCTAAGATATTTATATACTTTTATTTCTTACATAACAGGCAAAATAAGAACTTACCGTAACTAACATATTATTCTAGTAATTGTAATGATAATTAAACTCAACCCACTTACAAAACCACATTACTTGCCAGTTGTATTCAAAGTATTTTCGCGACCAGTTTATGAGTTCAGTAACCTACGCTTATGCACATTTTTATCCTATAACCGCTTTACTAGTGAATTTAAATGATTACCGTAATGTTTATTTCTCAGCTTCGTTACATGTACGGCCATTTGATGTTCAGTGTGTAGAATTCAATCATTCTTCCTACTTACTAAGTCACTTGAATGAAGAAGAAAAACTAGTCACATCGAAGAAGCTGAAGACAGAAGCTAAAAACAATTTGGAAGCCAACTTCAGCAGAATTCTTACGAAAACTCACACACTACCGATTGGTTTAGCCTGGTTGTTAACTCAGCTGCGGTGTCCTATTCATAAACAGCTAGAGAATATCAAGTTACCTGTAAATAATCGATACAAAACCCAAGAAAATTCATCATCAGTTAGTCAAAAACAACTGAGCTCTTTAAAGGCAATGCTTAATCGTGTTAAATCATCAATTATAATTCGAGGTGCTAATGGTACTGGCGGTGTGCTTTGCGGTGGAGATCGTAAAGCGTCGTTGGATTTTGAATCTTCGTCATCATTTGCAGCAGCACAGGTATTCGCTCTGAATACACCAAGCTATTTGAATGGTTCCAAGAAAATCCCTCCCTTGCCTCCAGGTGTAATGGCTACACCACCCCCAGCTTTCTCCCATTTGGATACGAACTCAGGTATACTTTTTTGTGCAGTTTTCTCTAGGTCTCTAATATGCTAGTATATAATATTTGTATTGTGTACATGTAGTCTCTTAAGTTATCATTTTGCTTACCATCACTTATAGAAATAAAGTTGCTGTGGTTTACTGTAACTTATTTCCATCCTAGCTGACCATCACTGTTATGCAAGAGTGGCAACATATGTGATTTAACTGATACGATCAGTATTTTCGCTTACTCGTTTTCAAGTAGTACAATTGTATGTGACAGTATCTACACTAACCAGCCATTTCGTTTTAAATGGAGCATACTAAAAGTTTTTATAATCACTACTACCTTTTATCAAATATTCCAGGCATCTAACTTAGTTCAACTTCCACTGTGTGACGTTGCAATGACAACCATAATTTAAGTGGGAAAACATATTAGTTCAATCAGACCAATAAATGGCATTTGTAAGAATATTCACTAAATATTACCTAGCCCTATTTTACTTGAACTAACAATATACGAAAATTTCCTGTAGTAGAAGTTCAACTGAAATAATGATGTGCCTGTCATATAAGTTTTCGAACATACTTATGCCGTTTTTCTCCAATTCAAGTGTTCTGAACATTTGTCCGTCACTTAAATCAATTATCATGAAGGAGATCGAGTTACTGTTTGTTTCTATGTTAGTAATCAAAGTGATTGTGTCTTAAAAATTTTTTGACCCACAACCTTATTTGTTCAATTTTCCTCTGTAAAGTATGAATTATGTTTTATTTTTCGCCAATAATTTTTTACTTTACAGTTGATCTAAGTATGATGTCATCATTGCGACCTATGAGTTCTCAAAGCAAATTTCGTGATATACCTTCTAATCTTGGGTTATCAGTTATTTCAACAAATCCATCTCGTGGATTAAGACTAGATGACTTACTTGCTGACAGTGCATTTCAATCACAACAACATGATCAGCAACGTAATCCACCATCTGTATCACTTTCTCATCCATTACCAAGTTATGTATCTCCTATTCCTGGAACTCACACTGCTACTACATTTTCTGATGTAAAAGATGCATATTCGGAAATTATTAGTCCTAATACTTCTGTCTCGAATAATTCGTCAACCAATATGCATTCCTCATCTCAAAAGTGTTCAACATCTATCTTATCTGCTCCTAATAATTTCACTCCAAGTTCATACAATATTCCATCTATTTCTGTAACATCCAATTCGGTGACATCAGGTTCACTAGCTGTAACGAAATCAAAAAGTTTTACTGGTAAGTTTTTAATCATGTACCGTGTAGTAATATATTTGTGATGTAAGCACTTATAAAACACCGTATATATTACATTTCTGAAGTATCTGTAGTGTCAGTTTATGACGATCCACCAAATAAAGTAAAATTCATCAAAGGTATCCAATTTTTTATGCACCTCTCCAGCTTAATTACACATGTAATTCCGATGGTTGTGCTATCCTTTAAATTTTTCTTGGAATAATATCCTTTATGTCGATATCCTAGTTGATATGATATCGAGTGATTATTTGGATGCGTCTACGACTCATCCTTTCCAAATTTCAATGTATTAGTAATTGATTTTGCTTACCAGTTAGCAAGCTACGTTAGTGTTATTTTCAGTGTCAATCTGGAATGTAGATAAAGTCAGTAGTACGGGTTCCCTGTAATACTGCGGTGATAACCACCTGTTCCCATTGACCACCAAATGAGATACTACATATCCCTGGCTACTTATACCTGACTGACTGATAAAATCAACGTAGAACCTCTTACATAAGTGCATCAACTCAAGTTACCACACCTCACAACAGAACACAGAGATCAGTTGGATAGAAAAAGAGTAGTATAGAAGAATATAAAGTTGTGTGTGAGAACAAAAAATCCGGAGATAAAGATTAGTGTGAATATTCAAGCTTTATTAGATATCGGGGAGTGAATACGTCTGCGCTATGGTGACCGATTTTCAGCCATGTCACCAAGAGTCCCTAACCACTGATTCCTTTCGTCTCGGGGACGCCAACCAGGCAGTCTATATCTCCTCACACGACTCAGACCAACGGTAAAAGACTTCATGGACTAGTGGCTAAGTCTTGGTCTAGCCACCCTAAACTTTCTTCCAACCTAATCCAGCGTCCCCTAGCACTACTCTTCGAGGTAGGCAGTGGCTCGGGATACGCAGTACTACAAAACAATATTGCTAGTCAAAAACCGCTTACACTAACCAGCTTCTGTGTAAGGTGAATTTTTTGGGAGTAGATCGTTAATAAGCTTCAACCAACAAGCGGTTTAAACCACTCTGATCTGATGAGTAAAACCTGTTGATCAGAATGAATGGTTTCTGACTACTCACGTTGTTTAGTAGTATTTTTTATCAGTTCATGACATCTGTGTCATAGCTTAGTAAATAAACACATGTATTAAGTTTAGTTGTATCTAATTAATTTTGTGTCAGAGATCATAATTTACTACGTTGACTGGTTTCCTTCTCAAAGAAAACGCCATTGACATCACAAGAACAGTTGAAGAACTAAGTCGCCTGTGCAAAATTTCGACAATGATGATACGAACTGTGAATAATTCGCAAGTCGAATAAAAAACATGCAGGATTGTACAGATAGATGCTTTATTACTGATATCTAAATTATTTCAGTAAATTATTATTTCTACTTTGATAATTACATACGAAATCTGTTAGATTCACCTTAATTTTCATTGTAATTCTGTACTATTCGGATAGTTATTACAAATCAGGTAGATGCCTTTTACTTGAGGATGTATTTCAAAACTTCATAGTGAGTACTCAACTTTCTAAACCAATGAACTCGATTTACTATGGTGTATGTTAGCCAGGTTCAAGTGTAATATCAACCAGACACTTCCACTTTAATGGATTCTCGACATTCATCCATTAGCTACTTGCATGAAATTTGATGAAAACTATGTGCTGGTAGTAGTATAACATCTGATAATGGTCTACCAAATCTACTGACTACTAGAAGCGGGAGGATCTGTGGTTCGTATACTAAAGATGTCATGATGTGAATTACAATGCAGTAGGAAATCGTTTATTGTCCAGATTTCAGTGTTTGTTTGACTGTTTTTGGTGTTTACTATCTAGGGTTTCTAATTTATCTGGACCTCATGACAACTACAGCGATCTCATTTTACTTTTTATTGTTTTGATATTAGCTTCCCCGATGATCGATAGCTCAAGAGCTCCACCAACTAGTGGATCCATGCTTGTCAATCTTTTAAACGAAGAATCACTTTCAAGTTCCGTCCCCCTCATGTCTCCATCCAGTTTATCAGACCGTAACCTTTATGCCTCCACTCATTCTCTAATAAATCTTCAAAACACTTCCCTTCCTTCTGCTTCAAGCATTGCAAATACTCCTAGCAGTCGACTTCCTGGCGTAATGTCTAACAATCTGCAAACCACTAGTTCAGACACACAGTTTTCTCAAGGATATGGGAAATCTCTAAGTTCATCTGCACCAAACCTTACTGCAAATACTTCTCAGTGTCTTCCTGTGTGTCATTCCAATTCAATTACGTCTAGTGCTGGTCGTCCTAAACATTCAAACATAAAGCATAATCAAACTAGTCTGAATGTCGGACCTACGGGTAATCCTAAAAAGCCTAGGAAGCGACGTCGAGGAACAATAGAAAGTGGTTTTCATTGCGTTGGTAATCAGAAAGTTAATGCACCTATTCCATGTGTATACACCAACTATCCAACTTCAAAACATCAACGCGTCGATGCTGTTTCTTCTAATACGACAAACTCTCTACCCCCAACTTACCAGCGCGCCAGCTTTAATCAAGTGAATCCAAATTTAGTCTCATGTTCAATGCCGTATGTTCAACAAAGTGTGATACCTCCTACTATGCAGAATATCAACATGCCTATACCTAATCCTAGTAAATCAGTCTATGACTTCGATGATACTCCTGGTTCAATGTTTGATGTTCCAGTTGGTAATATATCCTCTTCTAATTCATTGTCGTTTTCAAGCGGTTCCTCACTAACAAGTCCTAAATCGTGTGTTCCTGCAAATCCTCTGCAGTCCAGTGGTCTGACGGCCAGTAATCCTAACCCAGTTGCAAATTATCCCACTACAACGTCTATAACATCGAGTTCGAACTTAGAACGAACTATCGAACGTAAAACTAGTCTGAAAATGACGATAAAAACGGTACCATCCCAACCAATTACTTCAACTCCTAAAGCTGGAGTAAACTTCAGTCAGAATGAAGTCGACAAATACAACAGAATCCAGTCTGGTCAGTCAAATTCAACTCCTACTAGTGCAATCGATTCCGGGCGTACAACTCATCCTACTCACTCTTTAGTTTCTACTAAGAAACGCAAAAAGCGGTCAGTAGAAGGGAAGCCGTCAGCCTATATGTTACAGATGCTTCAGCTGGCTAATTCTTCATCAGTGAGTGGTTCCGATACTTCTATCACCACTACTAGTGCTGTTATTAATGCTTCTGAACCACCTACCCAATTAACAACTCCTTTTGCGCTGAACAACCCTAGTTTAAAGCATGTCAAAGGTGCCAACAAATTAGTAGGTCACGGTTCTGTCTTAGTAAAAAAAGAACGTAAGAGGCGTTTAGGTCATGGTTTTACTGAGAAGACTCATTTTTCCTTAATTCCAAACAGCAGCACTTTTAATCAACTACATGAAACCAGCGAAAATCCAAGTGTACCGAAGCCAATTAAAATAAACCGTCTTTCTAAACCATTAAATGCAGATACACCTAAAGATAATCAAATTGGACCTGGAATAAGCACTGGTTTGTATACTAATCCCATATCCGTGTCACCTAACTCTGTTTCATCAAAGAAGAAATTTTCCACAGCTAGTTCTACTCCACTTGTTCCCTTTATCGGAAGTGGATCTGGTAGTGATGACATGCTTGTTGCAAAACGATTATTTCCATCAACTACATCCTTAGTAAATAGTGAAAAACGCAAACGTAATGCTGACGCTCTAAAGCAGTCTAGTGTTTCCCAACCTAATTGTATTAGCTCAACTACCTCAAATGATGCTGCATTTACATCTTCTCCACAATTTATCCCTTCAAACCCAGATTCATCTTCTAATGCTAATCTATCACGTAAAACACCTCGGTCTTCTTTGCACTCAGTAACAAACTCATCACGATTACCACATACCTCTACAAATCGACTTCAGTCTAGTCAACAAACTAATACTTCGAATTACTTATCAAATAATTCAGCATGTATTACAACAAACATAGTGTCCAACTCGACACCTATCAATGTTGTTGGTGCTTCATCTGGTCTCATTAAAGGTTATAAGATTCCGAAAAAGAAGTCTATGTCCGCTGAATGCCTACCTAATATGTCTCTATCTGATGTGAATAGTGATAAGTCATCTGGAATACTATCTTCTACAATTCAACAAATACAAGAAACTCTGTCTACTTTTCGCGATACACTGGATTCTCAGTCACCTGAAAAATCTAATGAATCAAGTTTAACTATTGTTGAGAACTTGTTCTCAAGCTCAAGTGATCCTAATATTGAGTGCGCAGATAGAGTAAGTGTAACCATATACAATGAAAACATTAATGATCCGGAAAACAATAACAGTGATGGCTCCTCAATCACATCTGATTCCCTTTCAAACTTTCTTCCTAATAATGCTGACAGTTGTTTACAATCTGTTTCTCATACAGTGTCATCGCAGTCTAATATAAGCGCTTCTATGCAAATTGCGCAGTCATCTCAGCAACAGTTACCACGTAAATCTGTTAAAAGTATCAGTGACATTGTTGATAAACTGCGAGCGAAATCGACTACTAGTATTTCTTCAGTTATCAATTCCGCAAATATAAATGGATCATCTGAGATAGGAAATTCAGAAGTAACAACAGTCACTGCATCCGAAGTTCAAGATTCAGTATTGAGCTCAAACTTGACTGATCATGCTTGTTGTATTCGTAGTATACCTAGAAAGGATGATGAATCTCAGGATCAATGGAGAGATAATATTTTTGAAAATTTTGTCCTAGGTAAACCCCATTTGTTTTGTTGAATCACTTAGTTTTATCTGACCTTCACTTTTGGTTTTAGATCTTCGTGTTTTATTCAGCTTCTTTTGTTGTCATGTATCTTAAAAGCAGAAATTTAAGGCGACAGTCTAGATACTCGCACTCCGTAGTTTTCGATTCGTACTATAAGGCTACACATAACACTATTTCATTTCGAATTTGAAGATAATTGAAATATAACTAGATTGTAGGAATGTTTGAATATACAGAACCATTCAGGAAGTCACTAAAAGATTTATACAAAATGTCTCTGAACAATCCTAGTCTATAAATATTGAACATTTTTTACAAGTAGTCTAGATTCTCTACCTTAAAGTCAACGTAGAATCATGTCATGCATTTAAGGATTCAAAATCACGAGAATATCACGAGTCTTGAAATCAGATTTCTGAGTGTTGTTCTTGCGTACTCAAGATGATATATCAGCTAGCAAAATTATTGTGAAACTCCTCTGCTCTGATTCGTTTAGACAAAACGCCACGTATCTTTTGCTTTCTTTTTGTACCGAAGAGTTCGCACTTTCAAGTAGTTGATTTCAACACAGTTTTGGAAAAATCGGGTATTAAATTTTGCAACTACGTTTTTTTTTCATTCTTGATATATTTGTTTTTTTAATGCGTTTTTTGCTTAAGACAATTGTATACACTCAGTCTATATCAAAGTGGAACCTGTCATTACTGCGTAATGGTCTAAGTTACTACACCTTACATTAACATATCAAGATATAAGGCAGTAAGATGAAAAGCCATATAAGGCCATAAGATGGAAAGAAGGATTAAAAAATATGACATAACGATTACGATGAAAATAAGAAATAGGTGCATCTATGCTTCTCTGGTCTATTCTATGCCATATTGCCTAATCTTCAAGTATTGGTTTCAGGTGTTTCGTCGACTCCACTCCAGAAGCTTCCGTACCCAACTCACACCATAACTGAGACACTTATGTCACATTTTATTTTAATCACTTTTAGCTTTTTCCATTCCTATTTCTTGAAAACTTGAACAATCTGCGATCAAGACCAGTTAGAGAAGATCACGTCTACTTTCTATTCGCCAACTAAAATTTCAATCAGGATCAAAAATCTTGGATCGCTATATATATATATATATATATATATATATATATATATATATATATATATATATATCATATTATCACTTGTCTCTTGGGTTCCTAGTTGAACATAAGGCTTCATTAGCACGTCTCCATTCCACTCTGTTCTCTGCAATCTTTTAAACCTGGCCCCACGACTGCCCACAAGCTCTCATTTCTTCCTCGCACGATCTCATCCATGTCACCCTCAACTCGGACGCCCAACTCGTCGTTTCCCATCTCCATTCCACTGGAGGGCCTGGCGCGTGATGTCCCCAGTCGGCCTTCTCAGTGTATGCCCAATCCATCTCCACTTCCTTCTGCATATTTGTTGAGTGATAGGTTCTTGGTTGATTTGTTGCCAGCCAGAGTGAGTTCCTTCTTGCTTATTCTTTCTGGCCATCTGAGCTTCAGTAACGAGCGTAGGCAGTTGTTGATGAATGTCTATAGTTTGTTGGAAATGCCTTTCGTAACGTGCCAAGTTTCTGAACCATATAGGAGCACTGACTTGACGTTGATGTTGAAAATCCGGATCTTGTTCCCTATTTACAAACCTTCTGCAGTAGTAGTGTGAGCATGTCCGCTGTTGTCTCTGCATCTGCTCTCAGTGCTTCTGGAGGGATACCATCTGGTCCTGCTACTTTCCCGCATTTCAGTAGCTTTATGGCGTTCAGGACTTCGACTTTTGTTGGATGATTTGTGTTCACTTGTAGTTTTGTGGCTGCAGGTGGTGGTCGATTCAAGAGCTTTTTAAAGTGGTCAGCCCACCGTTTCCTTTGTATCTCTTCTTTAGTAATTACATTTCCCTCATCATCTTTTATTGGTTTCATCTGTGTCGATCTTTTCCCAGATAGTGACCTGGTTATTCAATACAATGTCAGGTCTCTGTCTCTCCTACTCTCAGCCTGTTTTACTTCACTTGCCATTGTGTCGTAGAAGTGTATTTTGTCTTTGCATGCACTCTTCCTCACTTCTTTGTCTAGTGTAGTTAGTGTTCTATACATTGTACTCAGTTCCCCTTTTCGTTGTTCATCCTTGCATTGGTTCATCTTCTGCTTCACCATCTTACTCTCCTTGCTCTATCAGCTTCCGTGTGTCTGTCGAGATCCATTCCTTATCTTCTTTCTTCTTCCTTCCTAATACGGTTATGCAGGTTTCTTTCCACATCTCTTTCAAAGATTCATTCACACAGGTGTCTTCAGGGATGTTGCTCGATATCCTCCCATTTTGTCTTGATGGCTGACGTGAAGATGTCCCTTGCAGTTTCGTCCTTCAGTTCAGTGCTGTTGTGGGTGTTGAACTTGAACTGTGGTCTATCACCAACTTCCTTAAAGGCTTCCAACTTGATTTGGAAGGTTCCTTCCACTAGACAGTGAGTGATGTGAAGCTGCATATACTCCCCTTGTTTACCTAGTGTCAAGTAGGCTGCGTCTCCACTTTCCTCAGATTGAAATGAAGTCAATCTGATTTTTAGTATATCCATCTGGTGAAATCAAATCCATATCGCTTTGTGAATATCCTTGTGCTTGAACACAGTGCCTCCAATCACCAAATCATTGAATGCGCAGAAGTCTGCAAACAATTCTCCATCCTCATTGGTTTCACCGAGCGCTTCTCGACCCATGGTTTGTTCTCTTCCTGTGTTGTCTGCTTCCAGTTTGGCATTCATGTCACCCCACCAATTACAATTTTGATGTCACCAACTGGAGTAGAGTCTTGTCCAGTGTTGATTGCAGTTATCTGTAGAATTCATCCTTCTTCTCTTGATCTGCATAGTTTACTGGTGCGTAGCGTAGCATTGTATGATTGTTACTTTCCTTCCTTTTGAGTTTAGTCTTGCTGTCATGATCCTGATCCTGCAGGAGGAGATTGGTTCCCATTGTCTGAGAGCCTTTGATGCTCTTGAGGACATCATAATGACCACTCGAAAACTCAGTGTGCTCGTGGTTGTCATCTGGGTGACAATATCGGAGTAGATTATTGACTCTGCTCTCCAGTTGACAGTTTGTAGAGTCCACTTCCATTCCATCTGGTTTCGCAGATTTCTAGCACTTCTATGCCATATCTTCTCAACACTTTTGTAATCTGGACAGCCTTGCCAGCCAGCTCCGAACACTGTGCGGACATTGCATGTCCCCATGCTTACTTTTGCTTTCATGATGAGGAGAGAAGACACATGGACCAATTGGCTTGGCTTTCTGAAGGCTTTCACCAACCGGAGTCATTTCGTCTCCTCGATTTTAAAGAAGAATAAGTTCATTTTTATATTTTCTATGTGCTTTGAATTTTTTTTAACGATTGGATTGGTTTTACGGGGTAGGGTTTCTAGCCATATGCCCAACCTTCCCTCTTTACCCGGACTTAGGACCGGCTAGTAACTAGTTAACTTGTTTACCACTCGAGGATATATATATATATAGTTTTGCTATTGTTACATTGAATAAAAGTTTCTAATGGCTCATAAGGTTAATACAAAAGACGTTTCACAACTATTATTTTTATATCTAGCCCCTAGTACTTACGATTGTCACTTATACCGTTATTTTTCTTGTTTGAAAGTAATTCTTTGCACGGAAACTCACAATATAAGTTCCAATGGTTTTTGGTTTACGTTTATTTGTCTCTAAAGAGTAACTAATTACATGTTTAGTCCCTAGTTCTGGCCAGATTCTATCAATCTTTTTGTGATGTGCTCTCTAAGCTAGGAAACTCGCCATCATAGTGCACTTTAATGGTTGTTAGTTAAAGACTACTAAACTGATTATAACAGTGAAAGGTTGGTCACTCTTTCGATGTAAAGAGTCTTTCACATTCAGAATTAACTTGTGCAGCTTTATTTAACTTCATGGTAGTAATTATTACTTGTTGGTATTTGGGATTTCTCGTTGTTATACTGAGTCGAATTAATGGAACTCTGTTGGTATATTGGCTCGTATGTGGATGCTTCGATACTGCCTGAACATTCCTTGTTTTAATTTACTGCCAGCCACTACCAAGTAAGTATATATTAGTAGTTTAGGTTTAGCATAATGATAAAGAAGAGTTATAATTTTTCGTTCACTGTATATTTCACAAGAACGTCAACTAACCAAACGTCTTGGTCTTAAAAAGCGCCTACTAAACTCAACACTGAATAACACATGAAGTTTGTTAATGTATATTTCGTTACTTCGTCTTTTCTAGTTATACCTGAGTTTTAAAGAATGTTTTACGATTTTTGTTTAGTGGAGCACCAACTCCACATCAGGTGGAAAATGGTCAGAATGGTATGTGTAAGTTGGATTCTGATGTTGACTTAGTGATATCGAATAATGTCATTGAGGAGTCTGTATCGATTGAAGGCGATAAGGAACCATCACTTGTTGATACAAGTGAACGAAGTTTACCTCCAAGTAAAGCAAGTACTCCTGGACTCCCTTCAAATTTTCATTCTGCCTCGGATTCCGACGCAAAGCAAGACACTGAACGATTTGAGGTTCGTTATGTATTTTTCATTGCACATAAATTTTTCACTGTTTTGTTTTGTGATTGCATAAAAATTTTGGTATCATTTTATTAGAATAGTTCAGTGAACTTTGTTACTTGACAAATGGTATAATATTGTTTCTTCTTCTGATCATATAGTTCAAATCATGCGAACAATAAGCATTTCTTCCTAAATTTCGCCTTCTTATACTCATGCTGAAGAGGGAAATTGTAGGCATCAAGTCGATCGAGGATACAATCACATGTAATTAGGCTTAACGATTGTATTTATTTGCAGATTTGTGTTAAATATGAGTTGTTAATATGTATGGTTCAATCTCAAGATAAACGTGAAGTGTTTCTGATTAAAGTATTTCCTACTAAAGGGAAAAAATCTGTAGTATTCACCAGCTTTAAAATTGTCTTTATGCTGATCCCAGTTCATTTTTGCATTTTCACATTTTTCTTTTTACTGTATGTACAAATAAGCTGCCCATTTATCGTAATTACTTTCTTATATGTTTGTCATAAAGAAGGAAACCTAATTAGAACACGTCTATCCTACGTATTTTTAAGCCAATGGTGACTAGTATTGGATCCTCGTGTTCTTAGAACTTTCACATGTGAATAGGCTCAAATTTGAAAAATGTGAAGTCACTAGTTTGCGAACTAAAAACCATCGTGCTCAATTGTTCACTGTTCATCCAGTCAATCAGTTGTGGATATGATTGTGATTCATGTTGATCCATTATTTCTTACGATGATACTTATAAATGAAATGAGTAAATATAAGAGAACATTTCTCTTCAATAAGTTAGTTTCAGAAATATTTGGTCAGTATAGAACGCAACAGATTAACGTCTTGTGTCAGCTGTGGTCAATATATACACATAAATCTACTTTCAGGAGGAACTATCTGAGACAGTTTTAGTTTGTCAGTCTAAATTTTCTGCAATTGTGAAGTGATTGGAGTTGAAACACTAGCTTTGATCGTTTCAGGATTTGAATGAGTGGCCTCCTTATTGCTGGTTTGGTGCCGTACCAACTGGTTTACGCGCTCCACTTGCCGTCTGATTACTATAAGTTTTAATTTTACTTAAACTGTAGGGGTATATATAACCTGACAGAAGCATCAGTAGGCATTAAGTGATCGTTATGGCTCATTATGCTGTAACTAACACATTTATCTGTTTGATTCACTGTTTTCTTAAATATTGGATAAGGTATGATCAATGAAGATGCTCATGACCTTTCAATAAAGTGTAAGTTGTAGGTTTTCTAGTAGAAGAGGTGTATTTTGGCTGATTATTGAACTGAGCGGGATACTGGTGAATATTAACTACTTACTATTTATAACTTTCAAAATATTTGAGTATGATACAATCACCTGTTGATAAAGCAGTGGTAAAACGTTTTGTGGAACAATTACCTACCATCCTTTTTAAGAGATGTGTGTTGATAGTGATCTTACATCAGTTGAATATATCTTGTGTGATACTATTTTGATCACTTCGTTCATGCACTTTGAATGCCTATAAATTCCATCTAATATTGACAGAAAGCTTTGCAGACATTGAATGGTCATTTTAAACCTCTTTGTCGATAATCTACGTGAAAATTATCGTTATTATTGTATTAAATTAGCTCATTAGTCTTATTTTTCACTTATTTCTCCTCACAATCAGGTCATTAAAGCTAATACAGATACTCCAGCATCGCCTACGGAATCTGTGGCCACTGTTTCAACGTCCAATCCGAATATATCAAGTAAGATTATTCCTATATCTCCTACAAGTGGAAAGTATATTAGTTCCACGGGATCACTCCCTGTTCCCAATATGAAACCCAACGTGATCCGACATAACTCTGCACGTTTTGAGAAGAAAGCTGGGGCTGGACGTTTCTCTCGATTAGGTGGGAATGGAATGACGCTTCATGGAGGCCTTATGCAACGCAGCAATTCTGATAGGTAAGAAAACTTTGTGTGATTTTTTCTTATGTGATTTATATTGTGTTCAATTGATATTACTTTATTCTTCTAACTTTTGTTCGGTAATCTTCGCCTTCTTTTACAAACCACTCGTGTTAAGAATTCATTCTATGCAACCGACGGTTAGGCACTTATTTCTATACTTGGCTACATTCATTTATTGTACTTTCTTTGTTAATTTGATTAAAGTAAGGTTTCAAAGTCTTTTTTCAACTTTGGTGTAGCGTTCTAGTTCTCCGAGAAATACATACTATCAATTTGAACAATCTCTTCCCAGTTCGTTGTGTCACATTAATATGCGAGCTAAATTCTACAATGTAGTAAAATTCCAGTTATCTTTTTTAAATTTAGCCGTAACAAATTTGTCCTCTTCTCGTCTTCCTACGTTGAATTATGTATTATATACTAGTCTGTTTTCTGTCTACTCATTCACTTTTGAGTCCTTCTGATTAACTTTCCTTACTATTTTCCCTGTTCAGTTGCTTTGATTAGGATAACAACTTAAGCTACTACTTTTTTGTAAAGGTTCGTCACTACAGGATTGCTTAGAACCAACTTTCTTCCTATTCAACCTCTACTGATTGATCTTTTTTACACGTTCACCGGTTTTATTCGAATTCAAAGTTATGCTTTTGTTGGTTAAGCAGGCTAATCTTTTTTCATTTAGTCCGTAGTAGAAAGATGACACTTTGATAGAAAGTGAATCCAAAATGACTGAGCAGTAGGTAGTTGATATAGTTCTACTTAAGCTACCTACAAAATACTTTTTACATGAGTTGGTACTTATTCGATTTATAATGTGTAATTTCTTCCCTAATATAGACTCCTAGATGCTGGATTATTAGTACTAACTTGCTATGATGTTAATAAAATATAATTCGGTGAAGTAAAATTCTTTTCACGACGAATCGTTATCAAAAGCTGTACAATCTTAATCATAGTTGCAACAAAATATGTATCCATCACTTAATAACTGGTCAATATAAAGCCCTCAAAAACAGTCAATAGAGTCTCAAGGCAATAACGACTAGAAGGTTATATCAAGGTCATCAAAAATTGCTGACAGGATTGCAATGAAAAAACAGTAAACAAAGAAACGAATAAACTGTCTTAGATTACGACCAAGGCGAAACTAGAGATTGTATGTACCTCTTTTAAACGCAAAGATCACCTTTGTGACGCTGGGTTACCACTGTGATAAGGTGACGAATACGCACTTCCTTCGAAATCTTTTACTTCACTTTATAAGTGACTTTGAAAGAATATTCTCGTTGCCTCTGGCATAGTTCTCACGAATCCAAAAGACTATGTTAATAATAATTACTGTCATCTGTACTAGCAGATGAAAGTAAACTCTTGAAAGAAGACTTTCAGGAAGATGCAACGGAACAAACAAAAACTAACAAAAATTTTGAAGACTAAAGACTAATCGATCATCAGTGTCGAGCTGTTTGAACGACTAAAGCCATCTGGTTCAGTAATTCCTCGACTCTACAATCTTTTCATAGTTCATAAGAAAATGTTCCCCTTTGTTCTGTTTTTGACATGAACAATTCGCCATATCTCATAGGATTGCTAAATGGTTGACCGAAATCCTTCAGCAAATGAAGAATCAAATTAATAATTACAGTACGCGTAACTCCGACTTCGTTAACTGCATAAAAGATGTCAACGTCTATGGCAAGTGTATGTCATCATTGGACGTCACATTGCTCTCCGCAGATATCCCTTTGACAGGAACAATCTGCTCTCCATGTGATTATATTGAGATCAACAAGCTTGAAGTTAGGATTCTTAAACATTATCGGAAGGAATTGCTCTTACGATATACCTTTAATATGCAGTTTCGATTCAGTAATGAACTTTATCGACAAATAGATAGACTGACAGTGTGTTCACTGATACGCCACCTCCTAGCTGATTGCTTCATGGCTAGTCTGGAGAACAGTAAACTACTTCCATTGATCGACCAGTTCCATATAAATATACGAGATACATGGATGACACTTTCATCATCTGTGAGGAGAACAATAAACTTGAAGATATGCCACAAAAGTTCTCTAAATGTCACAATTCAATTAAATTTCCCACGAGAACTGAAAATAACTCAGAATTCTACTTCCTGGATGTTCTATTGAGAAGAAGACATGATGATTCCCTAAGAAGATTGGTTTGCAGGAAACAAACCTGGAATGATCAATATGGCCATTTTGAAAGCTGAGCTATAGCAGTCAGGAAAAGAAATCTAACTCATTCACTATGCACAAGAATCAGAAGAATTTGTACAGTAAATGGTGCAGTAAGTGAGAAGCTGGAAGTACTCCGAAGAGTGTTCATCGAGAATGGTTATCCTTGAAGATTCATTGAGAGGACCATGAATCCTGAGCATTTGTAATAAGGAAGCACTTGGTTCTGAAGAAAACACTATTTATGAATATTGGATTCAAGGGAGATACAGAGGTAGAGATACTCAAGAGTCGATTATGTCAAGGAGTGAAGAAGACCTTGTTTTCCGCTCAGCGTCGGATTGTTTTCCCCATCAACAACTGATTTGAGCGCATGTAAAGGACAAACTACTACTTTGGCTACCTGTGTGTGTGTGCGTGTGTGTGTTTACTAATCCACCTCCTCTTGTGTAGCTGGTTACATGGACCACACAAAGCGTGTTGTATCTATACGCATCTCCAAACATTGTCCTGTGTGACTGTCCAGTGAAGAGCACAAAGCCGCTAGCAGCCCTACCTTGAGCATTTGGTTATATCTGGTGACTATGCTCCACCAGAATCTTCTTTCGAAGTGATTTATGAAGTGGAGCCGAACATTTTGAAGGGTGTACGTATTCACCACCTGAAGACACCAGAGGCTTTGTCAATTCAGCTGTTGAATTTTTGTGTTCAGAAGAGATGTATTCAATCCCTAATTTTGATTTGGTTGTAATCTCTTTAAGATACTTAGTTCACTTTTTTTATTTACTATAATCTTATAAACAATTTTTGATGACCTTGATATGACATTGTAGCCGGTATCACCTTGTGTCTTTATTGACTATTTTTGATGACTTTATATTGACCCATTAGTTAGTGATAGATATATGCTTCGTTGTAACTGTGATCACGATGTACAGCTTTTGAAAATGATTAGTCGAATTAAAAATTTTCTTCGGTGATTTGTCTCTTATTAGTTTTCATCATATAGTGATATTTTGTGGACCAGTTATCTTGTAGTGAAGTAGGGAATAACATTTAGAAAGATTATCTGTACTCTGAGTAATGCTTGCGGTTAATAAGTAAACTTTGTTTGAATAAAGCATAGAATAATGAAACATGTTTCTGACTAACAGCTTCCTGTTAATGTAAAACGATTCCTTGTGTTTTGTGAGTAAGCAATCAGCATGGTAACTCATTGAGTACTCTCTACATGTGACTGTTGTACATCCAACCGCTTTACTTAGTATTTGTGTTTCAGCATATTATTTTTGTTAATAAAAGGGTAACTACTATCATTCACTGTACTAAAATGACTTAGTGTTCGTGTAGTTGAAATACCTGAACCTAATATGGGCCAGTCTTTGTAATCATATTTCATTTAAAGTAAATAATACCATATCTAGTAAGTTTATGCCAATATTTATTTCGAATTTTAATATACTCTTTTTTAACATCATTGAATTTGTTATTACTTTAATACTTATTGAAAGTGGTTTCTGTCTGGCTTATTTTTGAACCTACAATCTGGTTCTCATTGATTATCCACATTTGATAGGGTAATCAGAATAGTTTGATAAGTCGCTGCCGATATCATATCCAGCAACTTGTGCGTTTTTATTGTTACAGTGTATACTGAAGCTGTCTTGCACATAAAGATTAATGCTATCAAAGGTTTTTACTTTTTTAAGGTTATCTACTATATTAAATGGATAATGCTGATTTTTGCTGAGCAATTTTTATCATCTTGAAACTTTTATTCTATACTACTTTCTTTTTTCCATTTATATAACTTTTTTAATGTAGTTACAATCATGCTAGCGCTGGACATGGTCATCCAAATCGTTTGTTACGCGGTGGATTAAATAACCCGGTAAATTTTGTAGCCTTTATTTGCATATAAATTTCCTTCCACTCATTATTTAATGACTTCACTATACTTATAACGCTAAATAAGCTCTATTCTGCATACTTAAGGAAACAATATACTTTATTCTATTACTTTTATCATTCTTTTCATATCTACTACGTTAACGGGAACAAAACAATAATGCAGAATATATTATAAGATGAAGGGATGTAGACATCAGAAGTCACTATTTAACCTATAACTTTTAAGAGAAATTTAGCTTATAAAAAATGAGTGTTTACATATGTCTCTTTCGTAGGCATTCAATATGAAATGAAAGTATTTTATGACTGGTTCGAAAAACAGCCGAAAACATCTTTGAGGCTAATATAGACAATGCAATCAAATAGCTCATATTGTTAGATAAAGAAACTTTAAGTCACTGGGAAGTGGCATGAAACCTTGGCTATTGATCCATGCATTCCCTCTCTTCATAATCATAAATAGTGACTTCTTGTCCTTTATACGTGTACATGTCAACACAACCAAAACATTTATGGAATATTTGTCACGATGTAAGTTTTACACGTAATTGCGACAAAAGAAAGTTAATTGATGCACAACGATACTTAATTGGTTAGTCAAATGGTACTACTAATCTTTTTCTCTGTATTCGATACTGACAGATACTTGATACTGGGAAGGGATAAGCTGTCTATCGAATGTAATATGATATTATTGATAGAATCAAGCATTAAAGCAACACACTTTACACGAAGTAAGCAAATAATAAATTGAAATAAACGTGGATATTTGCAAAGTAAGACTGTTGTGTTCCCTGACTGATCGCTCTTTCATATAACAGAAACTCCAGTAAAGTACGCTCACTGGAAAATAGACAACCTTAAGCAACTATATATACTTAATACTTAAAAATGATATTCATAAGCCCTTAGAGTCAGTCTTTTGAGACGTGTACCTTTGTTTTTTACTTTTACCAGTGGAGGTAGTTTTATGTAAATTTAGTGTAGTTTACCGAAAATGTATCTTGATCGTTTCTATCACAGTTTGTTGTTTCATTGCTGAATATACTAAATCAGGTATTATAAACTCAGACAACTGGAATCCTAAATTTTTGGCCAAATTATTTCATTGAGAAATATGGAACTGGTTTGGGGAAATAAACTCGTTATCCGGTCCGCATCAACGTTGTTTGAATATTGAAATCCTTTAAAAAAAAATATATGCCGTAATACTGTATCTTTTCTGATCTCATCCTTTGTTTTTCGATGTTATTCGAATATTGTGCTCATTAATTTCTTACTTTATCATACTTGTTTAAATGCAAACATAATGAGTGTTGTAAGTGAAAGTATTTATTCAGTATGCTTACTACTTAAATATATAAGTCTTTATCATCTCTTCATGCTCGTTGGCCTTATTCGATCCAGAATGAATTTTTTTTCAATAACTTATCGTTAATTTTTACATTTAGTTTTCCCTCTTGAGTGTTGATCACTGGAATTCAGTGTTGAATTGTGTTGCAGTTTGTCTAGACACAGAAAAGATACACCATGGACAATCATATACATAACATTCTAAAAAGAAAAAAGAATTACATTTTAATAAATTTTAGGAAGTATGGAAAGTGTAACAGGATTACTGGTATATTTCAGGGTCTTCCTAAAACTCTAGGTAAGATGATACGACAAGCCTAAATTGTATTTAATTCAGATGTGAACTATGGAAATCAGATGTTCATTTCAGGCAATACTAGGCAGTTAGATAGATGTAAAGATCAATAACAAAGTCTTCGTGTAATTAATAAACTATTGATAGATCACTTTAGAAAGCAAGACCATTAGTAAGGAAATTCAATCAAGAGATCCATCTGATTAGTAGCATGCACTTCCAATGCATAGATATCTGTAATATGTTGACAAAAATTTGCATTACTACTAAAGTCGTATAGAGTGAATTATCCATCAAAAGGGATTATAATAAGTTTTGATACACTATGTTTACTGTACACTTTTAACTTATGTGTTTAGTCGAATGATAAAGTAAACACGTAGTAAAATTATTTGCGTTAAAATAAAAACAAAAAAAACCCAGTTAGTCAGTCAATGCCTAGATACTTTCACTATTAGGTTCAATTTATTTGTAATCATGTCCAAATATACCTGGTAAAATTTAATCGAAAAGTTCACTAGTTTAATCTTACTAATAATTTTAATGACTATCATGATAATAGCAATATCAGTAAATAGTATACAAGCTGTTACAATCTCCTTTTAGGGACAGTGGCACAAAAACAGAGTGAGTAATGAACCAGTTTTTCGATACTAACCTATAATACTATAATTTCATGTTATAGAAAAAATATATGTATATGCTTAATAATTAATTATAAAATTTTCACAGAGTTATACATTAAAAAACGTTTTCAAACTTATCAGATTCAGTATTCCTTTTTCAAATAAATAAATTCACCAATTAATCTATCAAAGCTGTTATGAATCAATAAACTTTAATCGTGAAGCTTTCATTGTCTTTCCAAACAACACCATCAGCACCAACTTCAATATGAAGTGAGTTATCAGAATTTCTTCGTAAGTGGTTTAGTAGCCTGTCCTGATAAAGTCACATGTGATTGGTAAATTACTTTGATTGTTCACAATTTCCCGCTGGTTGTCGCTGCCGGACCTCTCACCTCTTGGTTGTTTATTATTTTTCTTATTTGTTGTTGGTCCCGTCGCTATACAGCTGTTGACTCTAGTGCCAAGCTTCTGGATTATCCTACTATACACACATATGTCTACTAAGATCGCTTGAAATTGACCTTGCGTATAAACCCACAAATTCTGTCCAAGTTTTTTTATGCAGACCAAAGAATGCAACAACCGAAGAAGACAAACTAAATGTATAGAGAATCAACTGCAATAACTGTGATATACGCTACATCGAATGAACATTACTTGTCTACTAAACGGAGCGACATTTCACACTTAAGTCAATGCATGTGAACAACTTTGGATGTGAATTCGATTTTGAAAATGTGAAGATATTGGACAGAGGAAACAAAGTACCACAGAATTTCTAAAAGCTTGGTATTCGTGTCAGTCAGCAATCAATAGGTCTGTTAACATAGGACCAACCTATCAACGAATCAGGAAAGTTATAAACAACCAACAGATAAGTGGTCAGGCACTGACAACCAAACACATGTCACCTTGTTTGGACGAGCCACTACATCACTAACGGAGGAGTTCTGATAACTCCATATTTGAGCTAATGATGTTCTTTCGAAAGACAATGAGAAGCTACTGTCCAGCTTAAAAAATGCAGCAGCACCGAAATTGGTATCTGTCTATGGACTCCATTTAGGTGGTGACATCATCGAATATCTAAATCACCCCACCTAGGGTATATACAAGTAGCTAAACTAAATAAAGAAATTGAAAATTCACTCCAAAACAATAATTCCTGAAGCTAGGGCTGCTATAATTTCGCTAAATAACTATGAAAAATTACGTCCAAATTATTTGTTTATCAAAAGTTTGTTATAATTTGTCCTTTGGGTTCCTGGTGGAACATAGGGCTTCATTAGCACGTCGCCATTTCACTCTCTTCTCTGCAGTCTTTCCAACCTGGCTCCACCACACCCCACAAGCCTTCATTTCTTCATCACACCATCTCCTCCATGTCACCCTCGCCTCGGACGCCCAACTCATCGTTTCACATTTGGGTTCCACTCGAGGGCTTGGCTTGGCCTGGTCTTGTCTGGCCTGGCCTCGATTCGTGATGTCTTCAAGCGATCTTCTCAGTATATGCCCAATCCAATCCATCTCCAATTTCTTCTGAATATTCGTTGGGCGATAGGTTCTTGGTTGGTTGGTTGGTTGGTTGTCAGACCAGGCCAGAGTTCCTTGTTGCTCATTCTTATTATTCTGGCCATCTACCTGATCTTCAGTATCGAGCGAGCGTAGACGACAGCTGTTCATGTATATCTCTAGTTTGTAAGGTATGCTTTTCGTAACGTGCCAAGTCTCTCAACCATCCATCACATAGAAGCACTGACTTGACTGAATTATTTTTGAAAATCCGCATCTTGTTCACGCTTTATGCTGAGTGGAGTGCAGTAGATCTCCACACTGATTACTTCAGATCAATGATGGTCTGTCTTGCTGTCTTTTCGATCCTGGCTTTGACATCCTCATCTGTGCCACCTGTAGTAGGTAGTTTGATTTACTATAAATACAATAAATCATACTGTCTCATACCTATAAAATAATAGAACTAGAGTTGAATTATACTCTACCAGTGCCCAAAGTTTAATGTCGTATAAATAATTTACTTGGATTTTATATTCTGTTTAGTTCAGTAACAACGGTTAAAGCCGATAATATGTTGTTTTCGTTGTTTATTCATAAAACATACTAGCACTTTACAGTATGAATCGTTCAATTTAACTTTCCTTTGAAATTATTTTAATATAGTCATAAAAAAAGCATGTGACAGCAGTTATTTATATCAAATTGGTGTATGATATATCCTCAGCTTGTTTTATAGATGATTATCTATCCTTTGGTTTGCTTTTGATTCTCAGTTGAAGTGTTGTTTTCCCCTTTGAATTCCAATGAGTGTACTTAGTTTGTATATGAAAAAGCGTAATCCATAATAAGCATTTTATCATATTTTGCATACTGTTTTCTGTAGCATCATAGTAAAGCCCCAAATTTTAAACCCCCATCAAATTGGGGTCCAGTAAACATGGATTACAATAATATTGGTGTTTCATCGTCTTCGTCGTCCTCTTCTGCTCCGGTTTTAAATGATGTTAGTAGTGGGAATATGGGTCATTGGATGATGAATTCTGGTGGAAATATTAATCAAGGCAATCCGAATGTAATGCTTTATAATAATCCACATTCTATGCCACATCATCCTTATCATTCCACAGCCAATAGAGCTATGCGACCAAATTTTGGTATAGGTGGAAATTCAGGACACAATCTATATAATACTGGTATGATGCGTGGAATAAGAAATAACCCCTAACTTTCGAAATGTTTAGTACTTAAAACCATTATATATTCTCGCTTTTCTTTCACGAAGTGAAATTTAAAAAAAATTATTTGTACTTCTATCTAGTTCATTTTTAAGTGTACCGTGTTTCATTCAAATATTGTTACACAATGAACTTCCTTGTGATTTTTATCCTTTGTACATTTTACTATAATTAATCAATTATTTCATTATTTTTGTGGTCATTAGTCTCCTATCCTTAGAAGTCATCCATATACATTAATATTATAACTTTCAAATTGGTTTTATTGTAAACAGTGAAGTGATGAATTCCCTAAAACTTGACTAATTAATCTGTTAGAGTTTGTTCTATTGTACAGTGAAAGAATCATTGTGAGCATAATTTCGTTTACTAGTACTTGTTCTCATCAACTATTTTCACTTTGCTTTGATTTGTCCTCTGTTTTTTCGTCACCCTCAACTGTCTTTTAAAAATATTTATTGTTATTATTATTATCCCTGTTTACTCATGTAAATACTCATGAATGCAAATTGATTGTGATATTTATTTTTAACTCAATCATATCCATGGACCACTGGTAATTTGAAAAGTTGCCTCATAAGATGAGGCAAGCAAGTTATTTAGAATAACTGATATTTATTTATATTTTTTCAAATAAGTTATTCTTGCAACTCCAAATTGACTGATATTGGAAACTATCGACTCTTGTGTCACTTCGCACTAACTTATTTGTAAAGTTTTCATTACATGGACGTCGATATTTGCAGTTGCAACGTCAATATATTATATATATGACTCGAAAAGCAACTGTTCTTCAAAACATTTACTGTCAATAACCAGCCAACTGATGTTGGTTCCTCATGCAAACTACTGTGGGTAGAATTTCTCCGTCAACTGAAGTTATTGATCGAGAGCTTTACCGAAACTCCATTTCCTTAGCCATAAATATTTACAGATTTTGAATTAAATCGATTTGCGTACCGTTACAATGTATTTATAATCGCTTGTATTATACAAATAAGATAAATGTTTCTGATAAATATATTAATTTTGCTTACAGTCACGCTGTCTTTATTTTTCCAGACAATAACAGTATTTATTTACTGACATGCTGTTAATGTAAGTGCACACAGTCTAACGATTATCCTGGTCATTGATTTTATTTCACACAGTGGTAAACTAATGCGTGGTCTCTCGGATCTTATTCACGGAGACGTGAGATACTAACGTAAAACAACTATTTTTCATCTAACCGCATCATATTGGCACATACACTTTCAATATGTAGTTGAACATTTCATCAGTCATACCACCAACGTTCAAACAACTACCCAGGTATGAAAACTTTTTAACTGCTTTCAACAGTTAACCATCAAGAGTGAGTGCAGAATTTTGTCACTTGAAAAAGCACTTAACATTTCAACGGCTCGAAGCGTTTAACATACCTACGGAGACTGATTAAATGCGATTTCGGTAGTTTGTATGTTATCTCACAGTGAAGCAACATTGTTCGTGTACTGAGGTCCGAAATGTCTTTCATCTGAAAGTCCTGCCCACCATTAATTTGAAAAATGAGTAGAAGTGTTTGTAAACCCCACTGAGGTGTTAAGGAATAGAAGTTCCAAGATAACTGATTCCTCAGAGATACACCTCTCTAACAGACAATCCCAGTTTAACGAATCAAAGGAAGCTCGTGCATAAAAAATATGCAACGACTGTTTGCCTGCAATTCGCGTGACAATGTGCACGTCCTAGTCGAGGGTGAACACATGATCGACGCGCTACTGACCTGAAAGAAACCTGATCTCACTACGGATAATTTTTTTCACCAATTATAGTCACATTCCGAAGAATCTTCACAGCCAATATTTTAGACACTACTGGTAGCAGACTGATACTCCAGTGATTATCACAAACTATATAGATATTTTCTAATGATAAGTGCAACAATAATTTCCTTTCAAAGTGAATGGATCACTTTTTTTCACACTTGCCAATTCTATTACTACAGTCTCACTTCTATCCTTAGAAGGAGTCTGGGTTAACTTTTTTGGGCCGGATGCTTTTGGGGGCTTAAGTAATTGGAGTTACTTACAGACCTCTATTTTGTTAGGTGGGTTAGTGTTCAATGACTCTGAAGCACAGAACAGTGAAATACATTACCTACAGCTGAGCTTCATTTCGAAGTGGCCCGTCCAGAGTTTCACGTATCTGCAGTGTGTGGTCCGATGTTTCATCTCCCTTATGGACCACCACACTAACACTAGATTTCTTGTTGGCAGTAGCTGGGACGCTCAGAAACAGCCTCTGACTATTGCAAGATGCAGCAGTTGCTCCCATGCCAATCACGCATGCTGACCATCAGGCTTTGCGGTCCTTAAGTAAACTTAACAAAAAGTATTCATGCACATCATTTTATCTGCCGTTTTCTGAAATGGGCCAATGAGCACCAGCGCTTATAAGCTGGAGGTCCTTCAAAGCTACAGCTTTACTCGCCCTTTCCAAGACATCTCACGGGTGCACCCATTACTCATCTATAATTTCTGGAGTTTCGACAGCTATAATTGAATCTTGGTTGTTTTGGTATATATTTGCAATGCTACGTGCAACCAGTTCGCTCCGTCGACACATTTTGGCTGACGATCTTGATTACCGCCAGATTACAAGCTGAATTTAGCACACACTAAAGCGTGATCAGAGCCCAAACATGTGCTCCACGAGAAGCAGCATTCCTGGACACACCCAAGATTAACGATAGAAGATTGCAATGCTATCTTCTTGAGTCCAGGCTCAAGTGCTAGAAGAAGGGTACCAGGTAGCACAACGGCGTTGAGTATGCCGGGGATTGGTGTTAGATTGGAATAGGTTGTAATCTGCAGAAGACGCTCTCCATTATCTGACCAGCAACCAACTTATTCTCATTGACCACCTAAACGACAGTCGGGCTAGACAACTGATCCATGGATTCAAGTCCGCAGCAGGCAGTGATATCTGTTAAGCTCACTAAGAAGAAAAATTCCCTTATTTTATGTCAGAACTCATTCTTAGCTGTTGTCTGTTGAACACTAGGCAATGGTGATCAGACATCGTTTTCTTTGTCACCTTCTTACTGTATTTGAGCATAGCACACGGATAACTGGTAATGGGAATCCTGTTGGCTAGTGCAGCTTTCCTTCTAGTATTTGGTATGACACTGACATAAGCAAGAACTGTTGCTGGCGCCAAAGTCCCCAGTTAACACACCCTTTGAGCTGATAGACGGGGAGATCTTGTAGGGGGCCCCTAGAATACAGCAGACGTCGACAGCGAAGCTTTCCATAATCTTAGCTAAACCTGTCTGTTATTTTATCCGCACCAATAACCGAACGTTGAAGGCAACCAGCCTAAGCTGTAGACGTGGTTTCAGAATAATCGAGTAAGATATAGCACTGATGGATAACTTTGCGAAAGTAACTGCTCAGGGACTGCAGGCGATAAAGATAGATCAAACAGCTGAATGAGGTAAAAATAAGTTGTAAGATAAGGTAAAAGGGCTACAGTTCATGTGTAAAAATAATAACTAAGTGACAATAAACTACCTGATTCAGTATAAAGTTCGTAAAATGGTAAGTGGGACTGCTAGTGGTAAGACTTGAGACGCATTCTGAAATCTTCATTACTGATGTTAATCGTCGAATTATATGTGAGCTGTGGTACTTCGTGGACACCCAGACGAAAATAGGCTATTGTCCTAAGTGGCTACATAACCATGGTTACTGGTGACCAAAGTAGGTTCATACTCTATTCATCCATTACGGATAGTGAAGCCCATTTAGACAACCGTTTTGAAACCAAAATTTTCAACTCTTGGTTTATCCTCTATATTCACCAATCCACGTCGAATATTCACTTTCACCACTATTTTTAAGGAGACATCCCTTTGTGTGAAGGTATTGAGTACGACTTTCTAAGCAGAGACCATATACATTCTACTGTCTGAGAGCATTTCGAGAGAATGGCCCCGCTTAATCCACCATCAGCTACACCTAGGCGTCTGTGGGCTATTTCCCTTATTGGTCTACATTGTGCGTAGTGCTGATTAAATGAAAGCCTTCTCCATCTTTCAGAATTTACATTATGTAATTACCTCCTTGTATTCTAAGGTGAAGTGTGACAACTTGGACCGATGCACTTATGTGCGAGCTTCTACGTTGATTTTCTTTGCCTGTAGATCATTTTAGGACTTGATGTGTTATCAAACGATAGTCGAAGCCACAGATCTCCATCCACTTCAAATAGTTTGTAAGTTTCACTGTTTAACATTAGTATCGATTTGATACTGTGCGAATATTTTTTCTGTCTACTTCCATTCATTTTTTCGTGCCTTTGCATCTCAGCATCGCACCCCTTTTTCTACGGAATAACTGTGATCAGTAAGACGAAAAGAGATAGGCAAAGCAGTAGTAGGTCAGGATGAGCACTAGTTATGTCTTCTTAGGGGCATGGTGTAAAAGTATTTAAAACTGGTGAGACCACAGCTGAGAGAAGAGGAACGAATAAAACGTTAAGTAGAATACTACTGAGACCAAGTGAACTGATTTTCAACTGCAAAAGGTAAATGTACCAGTTTTTTCAGAAAGGATATGAATTCTCTTTTAGCAACCATCGTGAAATTAACCGTACACATATAATCTGTAAGACCGTTGGCTCAACAATTAACTGTTACCTAACTGAAGTTCAAACCAGGTTAAGCCGGTGAAGGTCAGGTGGATTTGAGTTCCAGTGATTAGTGTACCTGCCAGATTTTAACATCCTACGTGATTCTCGAAGGTATGCAAACTTTTCATCTGTTGGTAGTCGTATTTCTGATCTGAAGATAGCATCTACTTATATCTTCTCACTGTAAGTCTAAATGTAGGAAATATGGCTACCATATCACCTTACTGAAGATTATACGTGAATAGATATGATCATGTTACAGTCCTCTGAGGTCTGTAAGTTTAGCGGTGTCCTTCAGGTCCGTTCGTTCTTGTTTTTGTTACAGGCGTAGTTTTGGACACCACACTGATTCTCTATTTCCACATGATTAAATCTTGCTGAAAATTCACTAGTTAACTTGAGATATGCAGAGAAACAACCTAGACTAGTTTACTAGCTGGCTTAGCCCGGATAAATAGGGAAGGTTGGGCATAGGGCTAGAAACCCTACCCCGTAAAACCAATCCAATCGTAAAAGAAACTTCAAAGCACAAATAAAATAATGCCTTGCTGGAATCGGAGAGGCGAAAAGACGCTGGTTGGCGAAAGCCTTCAGAAAGCTAATTGGTCCATGTGTCTTCTCTCCTCATCATGAAAGCAAAAGTAAGCATGGGGACATGCAATGTCCGCACAGTGTTCGGAGCTGGCTGGCAAGGCTGTCCAGATTACAAAAGTGTTGAGAAGATATGGCATAGAAGTGCTAGAAATCTGCGAAACCAGATGGAATGGAAGTGGACTCTACAAACTGTCAACTGGAGAGCAGAGTCAATAATCTACTCCGATATTGTCACCCAGATGACAACCACGAGCACACTGAGTTTTCGAGTGGTCATTATGATGTCCTCAAGAGCATCAAAGGCTCTCAGACAATGGGAACCAATCTCCTCCTGCAGGATCAGGATCATGACAGCAAGACTCAACTCAAAAGGAAGGAAAGTCACAATCATACAGTGCTACGCTACGCACCAGTAAACTATGCAGATCAAGAGAAGAAGGATGAATTCTACAGACAACTGCAATCAACACTGGACAAGACTCCACTCCAGTTGGTGACATCAAAATTGTAATGGGTGGGGTGACATGAATGCTAAACTGGAGGCAGACAACACAGGAAGAGAACAAACCATGGGTCGAGAAGCGCTCGGTGAAACCAATGAGGATGGAGAATTGTTTGCAGACTTCTGCGCATTTAACGATTTGGTGATTGGAGGCAGTGTGCACAAACATACGGATATTTACAAAGTGACATGGATTTCACCAGATGGACATACTAAGGATCAGATCGACTAAATTCCAATCTGAAGAAAGTGGAGACGTAGCCTACCGAACACAAGATGAAGAAGAGGAGCAGATGTAGGTTCACATCACTCACTACCTAGTGGAAGGAACCTTCAAAATCAAGTTGAAAGTCTTAAATTCAAAGAAGCTTCTGATGATAGACCACATTTCAAGTTCAACGCCCAAAACAGAAACTGAAGGACGAAACTACAAATGATATTTTCCCGTCAGCCATCAGGAAAATATAGAAGACATTGAGCAATATCCCTGAAGAAACCTGTATCGAAGAACACTGGAACTATTTGAAAGAGATGTGGAAAGAAACCTGAGTAACCGAGTTAGGAGGAAAGAAGAAACGAGATAAGGAATAGAATTCCACGGAAGCTGACAGAACAGAGAGAGGAAGATGGTGAAGTAGAAGATGAACGAATGAAGTGCAGCTCAGTGATGAACAATGTAAAGAGGAATTGAACATGACGTATAAAAACCTACAATGGACAGAGAGTTGAAGAGTGCTCGCAAAGACAAGAACTTTCTACAACACACTTGCAAAAGAAGCAGGACAGGATGCACATAGGAGAGACCTAACAAAAATATGCTAAAAAACCACGTTACTATTTGAGAAGACACAAACACACATGCAACCAATGAAAGATAGTCCAGGAAACCTACTTCCAAACGAGGAGAAACGAAAGGATGAAAACTTCAAAAAATCTAGGATCCATAACCATCTGCGAATCCTCCAGAAATAACACGAGCATTTCAGCGACAGAAACATCAGTTAACACAAATGCATGGAGATAAATCAGCGGACATGCTCACACCTCCATTGCAGAAGCTTCGGAAGGAAGGAAAGGTACCTGCTGATCGATTGGAAGAAGGGCTACCTTGTCAAACTCCCAAAGAAGGCTGACGTAAGTCTTTGCAACTACAAGAACTGGCGCGGAATCATGCTCCTATTCCTGTCCACCCCAAGAAAATATTAAGCAGCATCATTCTGGAGAGACCAGAAAATGCTCTGCATTCAACTGGATTACAACCGAAACAGGCTGACTGGCTTCAGGAAGAACAAATCATGTGTGGACCAAATCGCAACACTACGCTACGCATCACCATAGAACAGAGCATACAATGACAGTCAACTCTCTACCTTATCTCAACTTCATCGATTTTGAAAAGACGTTCAACAGCGACGACAGAGAAGTAATTTGGCAGGCAGCTGCTTCAACACTACGGTTCTAGTCCCACAAACCTCTACCAACCTCATTCAACAGCTGTATGCTCTAGGATGCTACATGCCAAGTGAGTGACAATGGAAAGCTCAGTGATGCCTTGGAAGTTTGGACAGGAGTAAGACAAGGTTACCGCCTACTATCACCAATGATCTTTCTGATTGTGGTGGACTGGACTCGACTGGATTATGCAACAAACTGTGAGGAGCGAGAAGATGGGCATACGCTATTTGACCGATGGAAAGACCCTAGAAGACTTGCGTTTCGCCGATGATGATTTATGTCTAATGTCTTGTTGTTCAAGCTCGAAGACCTACAGGCGAAAACCAACAAGTTGGCAGGAGAGGCGAGGAAGCGAGAACGGCACTTGAGATGAAGGTAGAGAAGACGAAGGGGATGAAGATACCCAACCAACTACAACAAGCACCAATCACCATCAATCGGGGAAATCTAAACGAAGTTGTCTCCTTCACCCACCTACCTACCTACCTACCTACCTACCTACCTACCTACCTACCTACCTACCTACCTACCTACCTAGACAGCATCGTTTCAACTACTGGCGGCGGCACAGATGAGGATGTCAAAGCCAGGATCGGAAAGACAGCAAGACAGACCATCATTGATCTGAAGTAATCAGTGTGGAGATCTACTGCACTCCACTCAGCATAAAGCGTGAACAAGATGCAGATTTTCAAAAATAATTCAGTCAAGTCAGTGCTTCTATGTGATGGATGGTTGAGAGACTTGGCACGTTACGAAAAGCATACCTTACAAACTAGAGATATACATGAACAGCTGTCGTCTACGCTCGCTCGATACTGAAGATCAGGTAGATGGCCAGAATAATAAGAATGAGCAACAAGGAACTCTGGCCTGGTCTGACAACCAACCAACCAACCAACCAAGAACCTATCGCCCAACGAATATTCAGAAGAAATTGGAGATGGATTGGATTGGGCATATACTGAGAAGATCGCTTGAAGACATCACGAATCGAGGCCAGGCCAGACAAGACCAGGCCAAGCCAAGCCCTCGAGTGGAACCCAAATGTGAAACGATGAGTTGGGCGTCCGAGGCGAGGGTGACATGGAGGAGATGGTGTGATGAAGAAATGAAGGCTTGTGGGGTGTGGTGGAGCCAGGTTGGAAAGACTGCAGAGAAGAGAGTGAAATGGCGACGTGCTAATGAAGCCCTGTATTCCACTAGGAACCCAGGGGACAAATAATAGTTTTAATAGTGGTGCAGATTAAACAGCTTAGTTGAATAAGATGCTAAAGACTTACAGAGCTCTCTGGACATTTTGAGAATGTTCATGATGCATTTATTACGTTTCATTAGCATACCAATTTTTCAGGACCGTTCCGTAATGCTGCCTTGTCTGGTGATAGGTAGTAAAGTAGCTCAGCGACGGATATCAGTAGAAATTTATTGAAAACTTACGAGCGTCAGACAGCTATATTATCTTCGTTGTAATCTCCTCATGTTTGCACACTAACGACGCTATACGGGATCGAATCTAGAATGTAACAGTTGTCCATTGCTCTTTTACTTTTACGGGTCCTTTAGTTGATTTCGTTTATTGATGACTTTTCGGGTGAGTCAGTAAGTATCCATCAGAAATTTACGGACAAAGATTGTGATTTTCAAACACTGGATCTTCATCTAATAGGTATTTGATTCCCTTCTTCTGGTATTAAATACTAGTTGTATCAAGTTTAACAAGATATCGAGAGTCATAATTCACAACAATCGTCAAAAGTATCTGCTCCAAGCGCATTGCTCTGTCATGAGAATCCTGACTCATCTGTGCTACAGCTTTTGTCCTAGTTAGTAGTCTATTTGGTCGAAGGAAGAACTTAGTAACTGTGACTTACAAAATCTTTTTTGTAGGTTCGTCCACCAATCAGCCACTACAAAATTTAAAAATTTATACTCAATTCTCAGGCTATGAAAACTACTTGATAGTATGTATGCCATGAAATAATTTATTATGTTAACTGGCGATAAATCATTGTTATAGACGTTTAAATTTATGTTCACCCTTTCATCAATACAATACCTGTCTAATAGCAAAGTTAACACGTACAACAAACAGAAGACCGCATAATGATTAGTTTATACGTGCATAGATATTTCTTTCAGGGACATTTTATTGAATTATTGAAATCTATGTGGAAAACAAATTTTATCCAACAAAATTGGTCAAAACAGATTCATTTTAACTCAAAGTTGGTTTTGCTTTCAGAAGGATAAAATTTTGAAAGCTACGTATACCAAAGTAATGATGATGATGACATTGTTGTTGTTATTGTTAAAAGTCCTGGTGTGGGATACATTTCTACACGAATTACAAGGCGTGGTAACACAAGATCAAGGTAAGTAGGTTGTCTTATTTTTATAAACACATGAGCATCCTCATATTTTTTTCACCACATAAGCACTAGGTACTGGATCTCTACACTAGAAGAATGCGTATATTACTGCATATTTTATATCATAATTATTTTCAGATTTGTCATGTAGGCGAGTCTATCTATGATTTGTTAGTATCCTCACTAGATTCTCCATCATTTGGTCACAGTTTTAAACCAGCTCTGGTTGTTCATTGCAAGCAATTAAGTGGCGGAATTAGCACTAACATCCTACGCATAGTTCACAGTAGAAAACATGAATTTACCAACAACTATTGGATATTTGGTAGTGACCACTCTGTACCGCATATTATACACTAGAGCAAATGTTGATGTAGGTAATTATCAAGAGGAATTTTCTTCTTTACCATACCACAGATCAAAGTTTGTACAACTTCAGTATGTTTTTCCACTTTACATGTTTCTAACAAATTACCCCTTCACCTGGTTTCATCGAAATTCATAAATCAATCCAATTGTTGAGAAGTTTGTGTTCTTTCCGCTGAATGGGAGTTATCTACTAAAAGTTATAAGCATCCATTATCTACTCGAACTGTGGACCATTTTGTCTTTGTAAGTGAAAGAAATTAGATCACATGCTCTGAAATATCTCACCATCCATCCATCCATCCAAATCAACATAGGACCAGGCATCACTGTGCAACGGTCCAAGTCCCCATAACGAAATACCTCACGTTATCTTATAACACTATCATGCACAATGAAAATGTTAGCGAGTATTTGTTTCAAGTTACAGATGAATTTATTACTACGACTAAGTCAAAGGAAGCTTCAACCTTTTAAAAATACTAATCCTAATTGACCTTCATTCATTACGAATGCTTAAATATTACGCCTGCCTTTTACCTTTATCCTCACTCATTGTTCTTACCCTAACGATGTGGTAAAAAAGAAACACGGTAATTTTTATTTATAGTGCCTGAAAGTTATTATCATCGCATTTTTCATTAATAAATTAACAATAGTCATTAGTTAAGCAAGCGATTCAATCAATAACTATTGCGTATGAGCGCTGCCTTTACCTGGCATGTTGCTACGTAAGCTTAGTTTGGCAATGTAGATTAAAAATATTATAATAAATGAAAAATTGATTGAAATTACGCAAAAAATTACTCATTTCACACACTATTTGAAAGGAATAATAACCACTAACGTCAGTCACGCTATATAAAACTTACATAACAGCATGCTGGATACCTTCACTGCATATAAGGAGAATATTGTCCGTAGTGAAGAATCATGGTTTCTCTTCTTATCTTAAAATTATGAACGAAAAGCGGTTCGTGTTACTTTTATGTGTGATTTCGATCAGACAGGAAAAAGAAGTAAAGATCAAGAATAAAGTTTTGAATAGTCCATGGCATAGTTCATGATGTTAATATCAGTTTTATTTAATTAGCATGCCAAAAATTTAGATATTTTAGTTACGTTTCGGGAAACGATTCTCTGTTACTGAGATAATACAGTAAGAACTCTCTTTCTTACTTATCCTGCTTACTAGTACTTTTAATTAAGGGATACTCCTAATCTTAAAAAACAGTTATGTCTACACATCTCTTTCATATTCATTTCGCTTACATTTATCTCTGAAAATAAGTATCTACCGTTGAACAATGAGTATAATCTTCAAATGCGATTAATCATAAGTAGTAAATGCATAAAAGTGTGCAAAACGAGATATTTATACCGTAACTCTAGTGTTTTTACTACAATCTATTCGGTGGCCAGCAGTGGAATCCACAAAGAGCGTTTCATTCTATTTGGAACTCAGCTGAATGCGCCTGCACCATTGTTAGTGATATCGTTCCCACTGAAACTTGAAACCACCGCTATGAACTCCAGTGGAGCAAGATGGCCACCTCTTATGCAATGGGTATCAGATATTGTTTTGATACTTTGAATTCTCTATTGCTACACAGGGCCGAATTCCTCGACAAATGTTGGCAGATGGACTCCCAAGCAGACGCATCGATGCTGTCCGAAAATTCATTATATTATAGTCTACTTGGTGGCTAAAAGTGCAATCCATAGGTCAAACGATTCGATCCATTATGCCAGAGAAAAATCGCGAACATCAGTAAACAACTATTATTTTTCTTTTCTCAGTGAAATCTATTTTCAATTGTCTATTGGGTTCCTAGGGGAATAAAGGGCTTCTGTAGCACGTCGCCACTTCACGCCCTTCTCTGCAGTCTTTCCAACCTGGCTCCACCACACCCCACAAGCCTTCTTTTTACGTCACAGTTACTAAGTTCTTCCTTCGACCAAATAGACTACTAACTAGGACAAAAGCTGTAGCACAGATGAGTCAGGATTCTCATGACAGAGCAATGCGCTTGGAGCAGATACTTTTGACGATTGTTGTGAATTATGACTCTCGATATCTTGTTAAACTTGATACAACTAGTATTTAATACCAGAAGAAGGGAATCAAATACCTATTAGATGAAGATCCAGTGTTTGAAAATCACAATCTTTGTCCGTAAATTTCTGATGGATACTTACTGACTCACCCGAAAAGTCATCAATAAACGAAATCAACTAAAGGACCCGTAAAAGTAAAAGAGCAATGGACAACTGTTACATTCTAGATTCGATCCCGTATAGCGTCGTTAGTGTGCAAACATGAGGAGATTACAACGAAGATAATATAGCTGTCTGACGCTCGTAAGTTTTCAATAAATTTCTACTGATATCCGTCGCTGAGCTACTTTACTACCTATCACCAGACAAGGCAGCATTACGGAACGGTCCTGAAAAATTGGTATGCTAATGAAACGTAATAAATGCATCATGAACATTCTCAAAATGTCCAGAGAGCTCTGTAAGTCTTTAGCATCTTATTCAACTAAGCTGTTTAATCTGCACCACTATTAAAACTATTATTTGTCCCCTGGGTTCCTAGTGGAATACAGGGCTTCATTAGCACGTCGCCATTTCACTCTCTTCTCTGCAGTCTTTCCAACCTGGCTCCACCACACCCCACAAGCCTTCATTTCTTCATCACACCATCTCCTCCATGTCACCCTCGCCTCGGACGCCCAACTCATCGTTTCACATTTGGGTTCCACTCGAGGGCTTGGCTTGGCCTGGTCTTGTCTGGCCTGGCCTCGATTCGTGATGTCTTCAAGCGATCTTCTCAGTATATGCCCAATCCAATCCATCTCCAATTTCTTCTGAATATTCGTTGGGCGATAGGTTCTTGGTTGGTTGGTTGGTTGGTTGTCAGACCAGGCCAGAGTTCCTTGTTGCTCATTCTTATTATTCTGGCCATCTACCTGATCTTCAGTATCGAGCGAGCGTAGACGACAGCTGTTCATGTATATCTCTAGTTTGTAAGGTATGCTTTTCGTAACGTGCCAAGTCTCTCAACCATCCATCACATAGAAGCACTGACTTGACTGAATTATTTTTGAAAATCTGCATCTTGTTCACGCTTTATGCTGAGTGGAGTGCAGTAGATCTCCACACTGATTACTTCAGATCAATGATGGTCTGTCTTGCTGTCTTTCCGATCCTGGCTTTGACATCCTCATCTGTGCCGCCGCCAGTAGTTGAAACGATGCTGTCTAGGTAGGTAGGTAGGTAGGTAGGTAGGTAGGTAGGTAGGTAGGTAGGTAGGTAGGTAGGTAGGTAGGTAGGTAGGTAGGTAGGTAGGTAGGTGGGTGAAGGAGACAACTTCGTTTAGATTTCCCCGATTGATGGTGATTGGTGCTTGTTGTAGTTGGTTGGGTATCTTCATCCCCTTCGTCTTCTCTACCTTCATCTCAAGTGCCGTTCTCGCTTCCTCGCCTCTCCTGCCAACTTGTTGGTTTTCGCCTGTAGGTCTTCGAGCTTGAACAACAAGACATTAGACATAAATCATCATCGGCGAAACGCAAGTCTTCTAGGGTCTTTCCATCGGTCAAATAGCGTATGCCCATCTTCTCGCTCCTCACAGTTTGTTGCATAATCCAGTCGAGTCCAGTCCACCACAATCAGAAAGATCATTGGTGATAGTAGGCGGTAACCTTGTCTTACTCCTGTCCAAACTTCCAAGGCATCACTGAGCTTTCCATTGTCACTCACTTGGCATGTAGCATCCTAGAGCATACAGCTGTTGAATGAGGTTGGTAGAGGTTTGTGGGACTAGAACCGTAGTGTTGAAGCAGCTGCCTGCCAAATTACTTCTCTGTCGTCGCTGTTGAACGTCTTTTCAAAATCGATGAAGTTGAGATAAGGTAGAGAGTTGACTGTCATTGTATGCTCTGTTCTATGGTGATGCGTAGCGTAGTGTTGCGATTTGGTCCACACATGATTTGTTCTTCCTGAAGCCAGTCAGCCTGTTTCGGTTGTAATCCAGTTGAATGCAGAGCATTTTCTGGTCTCTCCAGAATGATGCTGCTTAATATTTTCTTGGGGTGGACAGGAATAGGAGCATGATTCCGCGCCAGTTCTTGTAGTTGCAAAGACTTACGTCAGCCTTCTTTGGGAGTTTGACAAGGTAGCCCTTCTTCCAATCGATCAGCAGGTACCTTTCCTTCCTTCCGAAGCTTCTGCAATGGAGGTGTGAGCATGTCGTCTGATGTTTCTGCGTCTGTTCTCAATGGTTCTGGAGGGATTCCGTCTGGTCTGGTGCCTCCGCAGATTTCAGCTTCTTCATGTCGTTGATGACTTCACTTCGGCTTCCGTGGGAGTGCACTGAGTAGAACTTCCTTACTCGTTCGAACATCTCTCCAGTGGTCTTCAAATTTTAATATTTCCTCAGCTGATTTTGGATCATGATGAATGTCAATTTGAAATCAATAATTATCACAAACCTCGAAGTTTAGTGCTCATTTTTAATTTGTGTCTAGATGAGATTTCCGGAAGTATTTATTTGTAGTCTTGACTGATTGGACGAAAGACGTCGCGCGTGACGTTAAATACTCAGCAGTGTCCAATATTTTTAAGTGCATCCAGCTGATCTATCCATGATTTTCTGTCAGCACTCGTTCTTTCAGAACGCGTAGTATTAAACCAAATTAGTGAAATTAAATGAGTACTCTTTTTTCCACAACATTTTTTGATATAATTCCAAGTTATAATTAATATTCTTCCGTTTCATTTTCTCACGTATTCGTCCAAAGAATGCCTTAGATCTATCAGAGCTGATATTATCTTCTTAATTGATGGTACCAATGCAATCGATGAATTTTCATTTGAATTTTACGTAAAGGATTACCTGAATGATTTTGCTAAAAAAGTAAGTGACCCTGATGTGAAAAAAATCAAGTCCTTTCTGAATCATATCCATGACTTTGTCAGATGACTTAAAAGGTTACCCTAACAACAGTCGAAATGACCAGTTACGCTTTCCCATTTCTTCTGGAAAGACAGATTTTCATAAAACAGAAAAGTCTGATTCATTATAGTTGTTGATAGTATGGAATTTAAAGTCACTCTGTCACCACATTGCAGTACTAGCTTATATCAGTATTGCCATAACTTGAACACCTAACGAGTGACTTCAAAAACCATCCTGTCAACTGATGAGATAACTAATAGAATTTTGGGCTACTTTAAATGTCACCCTTACACCTGCCAAAATAACCAATCAGGTTGCGGTACTTTTGGCTGGAAAGACAACTTTCGAGTGACTTTAAAGGCAATAACTGAGATAACTAATTGTGTTTCTATGTCTTAAGAAAGCTCCCTTTCCAGACGGAATACTGAAACCTGATTGGTTACTTCAGTTGTTGCTAGGGTGGCGTTGAAGTCACTCGGATTTTAAAGACCACCCTTGCAACTGCTGAATAAACTAATTAAGTTTCGTTATTTTACCCGGGAAAAGTGCCTTTCTATAAAATAAAGTAACGTAATTGGTTATCTCAACAGTTGTTAGGGTGGCCTTTAAAGTAAGCCTTATTTTATGAGATTCGAACATCCTAGCTGAAATACCAAAACCTGATTTCCTACTTTAACAGTTGCTAGGGTGACTTTTAAAGTCTTCCGTAATGTGCAGTATTTTGTGAAATTGAAACAGATAATGTTATCTTCTGATGACTGTATGACCATACTCGATTAACAGACCAGTTTCGAAATAATAAATCACGTGAGAATGAATGCACCGCGAAAATGAAGCTTATGCAATGGGATGAGTAACAGGAGCCTAAAATTTAGCTGTTAAAGAAAAGGTCCTTCGAAATCAATAAAATATGAAAAAACGAACAAATTAATTAAGTGTAATTATCCGCTTTCAATACAATGAAAATAAGAATTGAAGGGGAATAGCATGAATTCATTCTTTTTCCAAGTTCCTACTCATTTCCTTGTACCCTACGTAAACTGGTTTGTATAGAAAGAATCCGTTGTTAGTCTGTCACTAATGCAGTAATTTTAGTTGTCCTTGTTATCGACAATCATGATGCTTTTTGTCCTACGTCATCATTCCTAGTAGCAGTGTCGTTTGTTCCATTTTACATCTGACATCATTCTCAGAATTCTATTCATACAGGGTGATGACTGAAGGTGAGATGAAAATTTGGCAGTGGTCCAGATTTTTATCTCACCTTCAATAATCACCCAGTATAAATACATACTAGTCTGACAAACTACGGTTATCTCAGATAGTCAAATGAGAATTCTATTCATAATATATTCTAAACTAGTGCAAATCCTGTAACGGCTTTTATATATTGACGTAATACATTTCTCACTATCTAGGATATACTTGCCTCCCACTGTTTTCCAACTTCCGTTATTGTTTCTGTAATATTAGTCGGATCTTTGCATATATAGACAATTTTATTACCAGTTCCTGTAGTCCTATTGCCGAACGTCATCGTTACCTCTTCTTCAGCTGATTAATTTCGATCAAACTGATTCAAATATGCAAACGTACTTTTGTAAATTTAGGTACTAGGATGGTTTTAGGGTATAAGGCACTGAGTAGAAGTTTAAAAATAGAATGAATCCGTGCTGTTCTGTTAATACTGGGATTCTCGCTGCGTTTAAATTTATTATGGGAAGGAGTTGTGTAAAATTCTTATTCACGTCTAACAATTTCCTTTCTTTCGGTAGTTTTGACAGATACTTTGATCACTATATTTTATTCATTTTGGATGCAAAATCAACAGTGGTATAACTAAATAACAATTCCTTTTAGCAAGCCACATTACTTTAACTGGCACATTGAAAGAGATGTAAAGTGTGACAAGTGTAAATTCATTTTGTTCACAAAAAATAACCCAGTGCCTAGTAGGTTATTTGTGTTATTGAATATAAATCTCTTCACGCGACGAATCTAAGGATTGTAGCAGTTTACTGAAAAGTTTGTACAGGAAACGCTTTGCAGTTCCACACATTCTTGATGACTATACCCGACTTTTCTGAAATGAAACGTTAGAATAATCTCCAAACTGGCAACAGTTGACTTATCTTATTTCAGTAGAAAATGTTTTAAAGGATTTCTTTCATCGAAGTTATGTAGACTTTTTAGCTAAGTGATCTGTTATTTACTGTTTGATTTGAAGATATTATCCACTTACGATTAAGATCATCTCGAGAAACATTAAAACCCATTCGTCAACTGTTTAACCTATACTGATTACATTTGCTAAATGAGGATAAAACAGCTGCCGAATATCCAATGATTTTCAAAAATTTTAAATAAGATACCAGTCTATGATTCATTAATACTGACAAATAAATATATAATTACTGAACTCTTTATCCCCTTCGAATTGTGAATAAGAGCATACCTTTTCAGTCTTTGTTGTGGTGACTAATATACCATGATAAGATAATACACGGTATACAGTAAACTGATGACTGATGTGATTTCAACAAAGGGTTTTATAGCTTAATTCAGTATTCGGCGACCTACAGTAAGCCTGAAATCTCATAGAACTAATATAGACTATCCGTGATGACTTTCCTCCCATCTCAGTAATCAATCATAAGAGAAAGCGGTATAGGCTTATCAGTCCCCTGAATGATGAAAAATATGAGCGAAAATAAATCTGTATTCATAAGTTCTTCGAGAGTGACTGCGAAATGAGCTAATAAGAAGTCGAGTTTTACTGAACTAGATATCGATTATTGCTCGACTTGTGAAAACTTCTTAGTGCTGATAGTTTTAGGCTGAATTTTAAAGAAATACTAATTTGTCTTTTACATATACTCCTGACGCAATCGCTACACTCCAAGCTCTTGTTTTATTTTCGAAACATTTTCCTAGGCATTAAATTAACATATACATGTATGAGCGTTTTCCTATGTATGCCCTTGTATTTTTATTTGGTTGGGGCTAGCAGAAGAATCTAGGACGCCCGTTTCGTCCCATTTGGGACTCGTCAGCTGGATGTCAATGGGAACAGCATCATTCACTGAGATACAGGTACATCCAGCTGACGTACACTCGTTTTCTTTTAGATGTTTCGTTTCACTTGATGAAATAAAGACTATTCTTAAGATTATCCATTTCTGTGAATCTAATGCTGGACAACTGATTATTTGAACTGTTTCAGTTATCTATCAGAAGTGACGGAGTGTTAATTTCTGTTATATTATATACTAACCGATTGTATATGGCAGTGAGACCAGAGCATTCTGTGAATTTACCCACCTTGTTAACAGCAATACGTAATATGAAACAACCTGGTGAACATAGAACACAAAGCAATATAATTCATGCAATTTCAAGTGTCCTAAATATTGCATTCACTGCAATAAATGATGAGAATTCAGAAAATATAACACGAATCGCTATCCTCCTAACAAGTGGAGATATCCAACAGAAATCTTTCAGTAAGCATGATCATTCGAATATTCATGGTCATAATCGTAACAGTAACGGATACGGATGGAACCCACAAATACTGATGAAGACATCTGAAACAATCATAAAACTTTTACATTCACGTGTAGACTATGTATTTAGCATCGGAATGCCAGGAGCTGATAGAGATGGAGTCCATAAATTAGCGAAACCCCTCGAATCTGCCTTTATTTTAAGTTATCCAAATGGTTATCAAGATTTAGATCTGAGAAAATTTGACCCAACTGAAGCTTTTTGCCCAGTTAAAGGTAAGAATACAACTACCATTTCAAAATTTGTAAAAATTTAGTTTCTTGAAGTAAAGCTTGTTAAAGTCCTGTTTATTTGAGCATATTACTTCTTGAAGTATGTTGTGTAGTCCTATCAAAAAATAAACAATGTAATATATAAAACCTAATGTCATTAATTTTCAAAGATTTGAAGTTATTTCAGTGGTCAATATACTATCGATGAAGATTTTCGGTACAGGTAAGGATATCCGGGTTTACGGAATATTATTAAGTTGTGAAAAATCTTTCAAAATTCCTTATAACGTCTTATATTAAAATGCAAATCTTTAAGTTTCAATCATTTAAGTAGCTATTTCATGGAATAAAGCAAACATTTGTTAATATAATGAGTATTTTGACCACGAGCTCGATTTATTTACGCTATAAGCATTCATTATACGCACGCGTCAAACTGTGTGAATTGTTCTATTTAAGTTTGAGCAGCAGACCATTTTTGCAGGATAAGATCAGTACGCAACTCGAAGGTGAAAGTAAAAGGCTAAAATAAGAAGCTTTTTATAAATGTTAGTTGTTTAGAGTCAGTAGAATGAGGCTTTGTATCTGGGCTTTACGCTAAGTAGTATGTATCAGCAAAGAATATTTGCAACTTTTACGAAACTCACTATAATATTCAAAATTATGACAGTTAGACCCGATCCAAGTGATGCGAAAATGTCTAAAATTCCAGAACGGAAATATTGACGTTTAAGTATGACCGTCGGTTACAACCATGACTGAAATAATAGACAATGACCTTGGACTCTGATGCGTCTATGTAGAAAATTTTTAAACTAGTTATGGATAAGAATCTGTAGCTAAAAAAAATTAGGGAACATTTACAATTGAAATAGGGAACTCACTCCACATACGGATAAATTAACCAAAATGGCCGAGAAAGATGACTACATAGATCAAAGTAACCAATCAGTAAAAGGTCATAACTTTGAAAGTGTATAAATGTAAAGGTAAAAATGAATAGCATAAAGAATACAGACAGCTGTCAATTTAATAAATGTGAATGAAGAGGCAGTAGGGTTTTAATGAGACAATACATTGCAGTAGAACATCAAAGAAATACTCTATGATCACTTCCTCATGGTTTCTTGGAATTCTTATCGACTAAGATACTTTTTTGACCTCAAGCAGTTGTGATGAAGAAATCAATATTTAAAAATAGACAATTTGTCGAACTGAGTTTAGGTTTGTTTTTTGTGACATTACAAGTTAGCGTATTCATTCACAAGAAAATTATACATTGATTTTTATTCAGTTTTAATTATAATTAATAAACCAATTCATAAATGCGAATACCAACTTTAAAAGTTAACATTTAAGGTGTCAGAGTTTTTATTCTGATAGATTTAATTGTTCTTGTTTGTGTTTAACTCAGTCAGTTTGAACAATATAAGTACATTCATGTAAAAAAAAGTTAAGCTTTCAACTGCAACCAAGTTAACAAATCGATTGATACCCAACTGAAGCGATTCCAACATAACTTGAAGTAGCTTGTATCCCAGGTATAATGTAGTGGTACATAAACAGAGTGCATTTATTCGATTCTTTAAAGTAGCTGAAAAGTAAGATATTTTTGAATTGTCAAATAATCCCGGCTACCATCATTTGTACAGTGGGGCAATTTTTACCAAACACCTTGGCAACATCCAACTTCCTCCTAAGGAAACAATGCTAGAAATAAATGCCAATCCAAAAAGCAAGAACCTATTACTTCATGTGTCACTGTGATACTAACAACTGTGTCTATTGTTGTTAGATTTTGAGAGTCAGTCTGTAAGAAGGCCTGAATCTGGATCTTGAGTTTATTGACACTCGGCAAGGTGCATCTGTAACCGTAAGGAAACTAATGTTAAGTAATTTGAACCTGTATCGAAAATTACTGAAGTCAGAGGATTAATCAATACATTATTCAGCCTAAACCTGATCATCTGTACGATTAGATTACGTACTGAAAGTGATCACCAAATAGTAACCAGTTTAGATCTATGGTCCTTACTAGTAGTTAGGGCTGATCAAAGTCCATCGACCAAGTTTTGCATTGTGGTCACTAAGCGAAGTGACGCGATGCTGCAGTTCATTGTATTTTGATGTTACATGCTCAAAGTCAAGCGGCAGGAACCGCTGGAGCCAGGTTCCATGCTTGTTGTATATATTATATACCTTTGATTTTTCAATTTCTGACTATTTCCCTGAAAAACTTGAACCAGATTTCCGTGTGAAACTTTGGAATTATTCCATTTCAAACACGCTGTGACTAACACAAATACAAACTACATCTAAAAGTAACCTTTTACTCAGCGCCCAATATTTACATTATTCGGTCGAACCCTGATTATATTTCATAGAAAGTAACCACTAACTGTCTAAGAAGCCACATTGAGTAGTGGAGATAAGACTGAGTTGTTTCACAGATTGTAGTAACAATTAGTGGTTATTAAATTGATCTCACAAGCAATAAGTCTGGACAAAAAAATTTCAAGTGAAATGTTAATTCTTAATTATAAAATTTATAACGCCTTATTATCCTTTCAAGTGTTGATATCTGAAAATATCATCACTACCGTAAATTATTTCAGGGATGACAAGGAAGAAGCGAAAATTTTGTTAGTCGTCATCATAAAAATGTGCAATAATAATGATAAGTTTTAAAATCAGAGGGATTCGAATTGTTTAGTTTCACTCCTGAATGAAGTCTAGGGTTTGCATCTACCAATGCCCTCAGGATTACATGAAACTGTTGTTTGCTAACTTCTAGTTTCCAGCGGTGATTCGAATTGTCTTCCTACAAATAGCCAACACGAAGCCATTAGTTTGAACTGCAACTGTTTACTGTTGTTCAAATTACTACATATGCTAACGCAATTACATTTCCTTTCACATGGCGAATTTAATCACATTTAGTTTATACGTCTGAAAACTTCTAATACACTTATGATTCATACTAGCCTATTCTTTATGATGTGACTGATTAATTAGAAGAATTAACTTTCAGCCAGGGAGTTGTACGACTTAACTTTAGGTAAAACGATGGAATTATAAGTCTTCAAAAAAAACAAGTGTACCTGTAGTAGTAGTAGTTAATTTGTATTTGGTTGCTAGAATAACTTCCACTTCTATTTTTCTGTTAAATTGTTTATTGAAAATACATTTTTCTTGATTATAGAGTACTGTACCATCAACGGAGTGCGTAAATTACTGAATTCGAAGAAGTCTGTTGAACGAGTTTACAGACGAGGAAACGGTATAGTGCCATGGTATCATTATGAATACCGAAAAAGAAATCCCAGTTTAAGAAATGAAAGACAGCAAAGACGTGGGCATAGATTTGACAGTGATTATTATGATTATGGCGATGCTAACTATGATGACAGAACACCTGCCGAAAGACCTACGAGCTATTACAAATCTAGTAGCGATGACGAAACATTAAATGACAAGTTAAGAGCATTGCTTGTTTTACTGAAGAATTATCATGCGGAAAACGAGGAACAAGCTTCACAAAATACTCGGTATACTACAACCACTACGGAGACACCAAATCACAAGATTGTATACCCATTAAGATCACAATATGAAATCCCAAAAGTTCAACAGCAGAAACCATTGGCTAAACCAGCTTCCCGAGCAGACAGTAATCAGCATGAAACAACAAATACATCAAACACTAAAGATCCTGGAATGATAACACAACCTGCTATAAAGAATGAAACCCATTCTGATAAAAGTAGCTGTGAATCACAGTTAAATAAGATAACTGACCTATTAATATTTCTCCTGAAGCAATCTCTGACACCAAATGGTTTTAATTTAGCAACAAAAGTCAATTTAAGTGTTTTAAACGAAACTTCAAATGGACCTTTGGTAGTAAGTTCAAAAAGTATGAAATCTTCATAAATTAATCATTGAATAAATTTCATTTATCATGTATCTTAATGAATTTATTTTTGTGTACCTGATCAATGACATAGATTCATTAGAAATCCCTTTCCGAAAATCTCCAACTGCAGTAATGTACTAGGCTAAGCCAAGTCTGCAAGTCAGCGACCAAGGATAAAGTAGTTAAACGGTTGAGATAAAGCTTAACGAATCCCTTCATGACCACTGTAGTTCAATCTGATTTCTTTTGAGATGATTTTGACTATTTTCGTCTACTACTTTATTTATTGTGAAGATTTCATTGTACATTTAATGCCTCTGACGCGATGAGATACGTTACAAAAATGTACTATAATTGGGGGTATTTAACAGTATGTTTTGGATCCAAGAAATAACTCCAGTACTACAATATGCAGAGTTCTAGCTGATAACATCTTTAAAGTTAAGTGTTGGGAATTCAAGAAAGCTGTAGGTCTTGGTTTTGTAGTTTGCATTATTCCTCAATAAGAAGCCCGAATAACATCTGAGTCAACGGATCAACATCTGAGATGTTAACTTGAGTCAACTGCTCCTTCATTTAGGGATTTGAAGACTAAGTTATTCATACAGATAATACACCTTTGAATAGTACGAAACCGTTATATTATTATTTTATTATTATTAGTCCCTTGGGTTCCTAGTGGAACATAGGGCTTCAGTAGCACGCCTCCAGTGACCTCTGTTCTCTGAGATCTTTTGAACCTGGTCCCACGACAGCCCAGAAGCTCTCATTTCTTCCTCGCACGACCTCCTCCATGTCACCCTCGGACGTCCAACTCGTCGCTTCCCATGGGGATTCCACTCGAGGGCCTGACGCGTGATGTCCTCAGTCGGCCTTCTCAGTGCATGGCCAATCCATCTCCACTTCTTCCTGCATATTTGTTGCGTGATAGGTTCTTGGTTGGTTCGTTCCCAGAGTTCCTTGTTGCTTATTCTTTCTGGCCATCTGATCTTCAGCAGCGAGCGTAAGCAGTTGTTGATGAATGTCTGTAGTTTATTGGAAATACCTTTCGTGACGCGCCAAGTCTCTGAGCCATACAAGAGCACTGACTTGACGTTGGTGTTGAAAATCCGTATCTTGTTCCGCATGCTGAGTGCAGAAGATCTCCACACTGGTTTCAGGCTAATGAAGGCCTGTCTTGCTTTTCCGATTCTGACTTTGACGTCCTCGTCTGTCCCGCCTGTAGTTGAAACAGTGCTTCCTAGATAAGTGAAGGAGGTTACTTCCTTCAAGTTTCTCCCGTTGACGGTGATTGGAGTTTGTTGTTGTTGTTGATGGTGGTGGTGCGGTATCTTCATCACTTCTGTCTTCTCTATATTCACCTGAAGTCCCGTCTTAGCTGCCTCTTCTGTCAACTTGTTAGTTTTTGCCTGCAGATCTTCAAGTTTGTGTGACATTAGGCATAAGTCATCGGCGAAATCCAAGTCTTCTAGGTTCTTTTCCGTCGTCCAGTGTATCCCCCTCTTCTCGCTGCCTACTGTTTGCTGCATGATCCAGTCCACCACAATAAGGAATATCATGGGGGATAGTAGGCAACCTTGTTTCACTCCTGTCTTCACTTCAAAGGCATCACTGAGCTTCCCATTGTGGATTACTTGACATGTGGCATCTTCATATAGTTGTTGAATGAGGTGGATAAAGGTTTGCGGTACTCCGTAGTAGTGAAGCAGTTTCCAAATTACTTCTCGGTCGACGCTGTCAAAGGCCTTCTCAAAGTCGATGAAGTTGAGGCAGAGAGCTGATTGCCATTCTATGCTCTGTTCTATGATGATACGAAGCGTTGCGATTTGGTCTGCACATGATTTGTACTTCCTGAAGCCTGCCTGTTCCGGTCGCAGTTTTGAATCCAGTGCGTCTTTAAGCCTCTCTAGGATGATGCGGCTTAATATTTTACTTGGGGTGGACAGGAGAGTGATTCCTCGCCAGTTCTTGCAAGCACTGAGGTCTCCCTTCTTCGGCAGTTTGACAAGGTAACCCTTCTTCCAATCGTCAGGTACCTTCTCTTCCTTCCACACCTTCTGCAATAGTGGTGTGAGCATGTCCGCTGTTGTCTCTGCATCTGTTCTCAGTGCTTCTGGCGGTATCCCATCTGGTCCTGCTGCTTTCCCGCATTTCAGTAGCTTTATGGCGTTCAGGACTTCCATTTTCGTTGGGGGATTAATATTCACTTGTAATTCAGCGGCTGCAGGTGGTATTTCTGGACGAAGTGCAGGTGGTGGTCGATTCAAGAGCTTCTTGAAGTGGTCGGCCCATCGTTTCCTCTGTTTCTCTTCTTTCGTAATTAAATTTCCTTCTTCATCTTTTATTGGTTTCATCTGTGTTGGTCTCTTCCCTGATAGCAACCTGGTTATTTGATACAATGTTGTCAGGTCTCTCTTACCTGCAGCCTGTTCTGCTTCACTTGCCAGTGTTTCGTAGAAGTGTCTTTTGTCTTTCCGTGCACTCTTCTTCACTTCTTTGTCCAGTGCTTTATACATTGTGCTCAGTTCCTCTTGTCGTTGAGCATCCTTGCACTGGTTTATCTTCTGCTTCACCATCCTCCTCTCCTCTATCAGCTTCCACGTATCCGTCGAGATCCATTCCTTATCTTCTTTCTTCTTCCTTCCTAATACTGTTGTGCAGGTTTCTTTCCACATATCTTTCAAAGACTTCCAGTGTTCTTCCACACAGGTTTCTTCAGGGATGTTGCTCGATGTCTCCCATTTTCTCTTGATGACTGCCTTGAAGATTTCCTTTGTAGTTTCATCCTTCAGTTTCCGAGTGTTGTACTTGAATTGAGGTCTATCACCAGCTTCCTTGAAGGCTTTTAACTTGATTTGGAAGGTTCCTTGCACTAGATAGTGGTCTGAACCTACATCTGCTCCTCTTCTTGACCTTGTGTTAAGTAGACTGCGTCTCCATTTTCTTGAGATTGAGATAAAGTCGATTTGATTTTTAGTGTGTCCATCTGGTGAAATCCATGTCGCTTTGTGGATATCTTTGTGCCTGAACACACTGCCTCCAATTACCAAATCGTTGAATGCGCAGAATTCTGCAAACAATTCTCCATTCTCATTCATTTCACCTAGCGCCTCTCGACCCATGGTTAGTTCTCTTCCCGTGTTGTCCCCTCCCAGTTTGGCATTCATGTCGCCCATTAGAATTTTGATATCGCCAACTGACGTCTTGTCCAGTGTTGATTGAAGTTGTCTGTAGAAATCCTCCTTTTTCTCTTGCTCTGCATTATTTGTAGGTGCATAACATTGTATGATTGTGACCTTTCTTCCTTTTGAGTTGAATCTTGCTGTCATGATCCTGGAGGAGATTGGTTCCCACTGCATGAGAGCCTTCGATGCTCTTGAGGACATCATGATAGCCACTCCCTCAGTGTGCTCGTGGTTGGCGTCTGGGTGACCGGAGTAGATTATTGATTCTCCAGTTGACAGTTTGGAGAGTCCACTCCCATTCCATCTGCTTTCGCAAATCCCAAGCACTTCGATGTTATACCTTCTCATCTCGTTTGCAATCTGGGCTGCCTTACTGGGTTCAAACATCGTGCGGACATTCCATGTCCCCACGTTTACTTTCGCTTTCATCGAGAGAAGACACATCGGCCAATTGGCTTCCCGAAGGCTTTCACCAACTGGCGTCATTTCGCCTCTCCGATTCCAGCGGGGAATGAGTTTGTTTTCATTTTTTATATTTTGTTTGTGCTTTGAAGTTTCTTTAGCGGTTAGATTTGTTTTACGGGGTAGGGTTGCTAGCCCTATGCCCAACCTTCCCTCTTTACCCGGGCTTAGGACCGGCTAGTAACTAGTAAACTAGTTAACCAGGCGAGGTTAAACCGTTATATGATGAATATTAACCATGAACTGAGTACCCTAATAGAAATCTACAGTAAAAGTTTATGTACATGACTGATAGTTTCCAGGAGATTTAGGCATAAGTTCACGAATTAGAAAACTCATAAAAAGCATATTGTCAGTCTACTCTTGAACCCAGTACCCTACGATTTCGTGACAAGCATGTTACCATTGAACCACTGGATCAGAATCCAATGGTACACAGTTTCCTATCGCTGTCAATTCACTATATACCATGATCTTCAACCAATGCCGTCATTGAGTATTTGTCCCCACGCCCGACTTGGCTTATCCCACCGGTCATGACTTCTCATTAGAACTTCAAACCTGAAGACAAATACTCAGTAATGGTATTTGGTATGGGTTGTGCTGCACCGTGATTTGACAGTAGGGAAATGTAGACCATTGGATTCTGATCCAGTGGTTAAATGGTAACATGCTCATCACGAAATCATAGAATACTGACGGGGCCATGGATGCGCACTATTTATGAGTCCAATACTAAGACGAAACAGCTATCCGGTGCTCAGAGGTTTTCAGTGTTTTTTAACCAAAATTCCAACTCATAATTGCATTGTATGAGGTTTATGTTATCTCACTCACTGGAAACAATTAACAGCGCTCTGCTGCAAACGTTTACCGCGTAAGATATAACAGTTTAATTAAAATGGACAAGTTAATAACTTAAGAATTCATAGTAAATGATCACATGATATCGTTGTTGATTAGTAAAAGATTCGGGTAGACCAGCTTTTTATGCCACATATTGCTCATAACCTCGGTGATTTGTTTTTCCTCAACTAGAGAATACCTCAAAGTTAGATGTATGACCGATCGTCTCGGTTACCCCCCTCCCTCGGACGACTTTCTGTTCTTACACTACATAGTTTCTAGGCCCCAAAGCTATGAATAAGTGAAGAAAATATGGCTTAATTTCTATAAGGTGTACTAAATAAGGAGAAGGGATATAGAATCACAAATAGAAGTAGTTATACGCCTCCGTAACTGTCTCCAAGATCCGACAAATCCCACTTGACTGCTAACGCATGGTCTTGGCCTCGGTAAATCAAGTTAAACAAATCCATTAGTGGAGATGGATCATTCACTACTTACAATTAGCATATATTTGAAATGTTTTTTGCGCTAGTTTTCCCCCATACGGGTTACATTTCATCTACCCGCTAGCATTCTGATTGACTCCTGTCTCGTCAAATGTACTAGTTATTTCTTGTCTTTCGAGGTTACTATAACTCTATAAATAGGGTCCGTTTGCACTCAAATTTTTTTCAGTCCATAAACTCATCTAGTTTCCAGTCCTTTGATTTCGCTTTGCGAACCACTTGGATTGAACCGTCACAACCCTCGATTATCAATCGTTAATTATAATCGTTCGTTCTCACTACTCCACATCGTACAAGATTACTAGTGTGTTCGTCAGCGAAACAGTCGGTCAAAACCTTAGTGGTGTTAAATGGCTCTTTGAATGCAGCGTCTAAGTTTTGGTCAAATCGTTATATTTCTCTACGTTGAAAAATGTTCTCGGGTCTTTTTTTGTAAAGTTATGCAAGCATATACAATTTATCCATGTCAGGTAATTGAGCATAAGAGACAAAGATAAAATATATCATTCATCATTTCTTTTGATTACATTTTGTAAGCAGGCAGTTAGTGCAACTGAATTCTCAAGTAACCTACAGGAAATCTATTCAGAAGTTGTAGCGCCTAAAGTAGAAGAACGTCGGTTACAAGGCGATGAGCAATCCAAAATCAAGAAATTATCACTAATCGATGTTTCCCATTCTAGTCAACAGTTCAAACAACAAATAAGTTATTCAACTAACAAAGTATATTTTCAACCAACCGATTGGCAAGATTGTGCTATGCACAATGGAGCAATCCTGATGTTTGCAATGAAATCTCATTCAGGATTATCTTTAAGTGAAGTTTATTCTTCGAACAGTGATACTTCAATTACACCATCAAGTACAATAGAAATTCAACCTAGTGGTACTAATAACTATGCTAATAAAGAATATATAAATAATAATGCATCAAGTTATTGGTATAAACATCCCTTATTTAACCAATGGAATAGTGGATTATATAAATATGTTCTGTTTGAATTATGGTCTAATCATAATCCAATTGTTCAATTAAAGTTTGACGCGCAATACTCGGATAGATATACCTGGTTTAATAAAGTGTTTCTACACACTTCGTATCCATGGGATAAAAATGAACTTACAGAAAAGGCCAAATTCATTCGTACAAGGTAATTATAGCCAAAGTAATTGTAGATATGTTTATGCAATTAGCGTCGTTTAACTCAATTTTATTGCTTGTTATGGGTAAAAATTGCTTTTTATTGGTTTGGATCAAGATAGAATTGTACTAATCATGTTGACAAATCAGTTTCTTACACGGACATCTGAAAAGTGTTATTTGATAGTAGTGGCATTCATGTGAGTCTAATTGAGACTCATTCTCCGCATATGTTTGCATGCTTACGGGGCCAACAAGAACTAATTTGGTTGTAGCAATAAACAATGATAAATTTCAAAATCTAGCAACAAATCTATGCTTACTAAGTAAGGTGTAATTATTGCACGCTAGTACCCCAGTAGTTAATATTCCGTTGTTTTAAGCAATGGGGGCTAACTCATATTTCAGGCTGAATACCAACGTTGAAATTCGTATTCATTCAGATGATGGATCACATATAAAACAAGGCAACGATATTGAACCACTTTTCCAACCTTTTAGCAAAATAATATCACCGGTGTACTGTTATCTTCATAATCATGTAAACTGCGTGTACCTCGAATGCAATAAAGAAATATGGGGTCTATGAAGTGAGTATAGATGACTCCTGTGTAACTAACTTTCGATAACAAAGATCCTTCGCCTAATATTATGAGAGACAACAGGACAGAGCATATATTCGTATCTATCGGATGAGATGTGGCTAACTGGTCTAGACTCTTGACTTCCAATTGGAGGGTCACGGGTTCAAACCTACTTCCACTTACCAACCTTTGAGCAACCAGGAAGTATCTTAATCTCTCATATAATAGGTGTGTCTCACTGCTTATTGCATAAAGTTTCTGAGTGAATTTCATTTTCAGTATAATTAGCTCGTATAATCGAGATGGACAGAACTGAAATGACAATTATACTGTCAGTAATAGCGTTGAAGGAAACGAAAAGACAAGGACCTTGGTCGGTCAGTATCATCTTCGGCACACTGTAATCCACAAAAATATGCCATATCACCGCTGTGGTCACTGTCTTCATGCGTTGATCAGGAATCGCAACAGCATCTACCCATCGTGTAGCATGCTGCACCACCACCAACAGATATTGGTTCCTACTAGATGTTTGCGGAAATGGTCCCATTATGTCCATAGATCACAGGTCACCAATTGCTGCTAGTGGAATCGACTCGTGCGGCGGTCGTACATACCTATCACTTTTCATCAGTTGACAATGAGGAAAACCCAGCACGTGTTTGGCAACATCTCTCATACCTGACCAGTACGCACTTTGTCGGAGAGGGTCAACTGTCCGTGAGACACCTGTATGTGCTAACTGGTGGCATTCTTGTATCATTTTGTTGCGTAGACATTTCGGAATCACTGCCAACCAGCTCCCGTCGTTTTCTCGCCAAGTCAGCATTCCATAAGTATTCATCCGTAGGTTTTCTTTCTGAGTCAACAACGTTCTCAACTCTTTATTTCCCACAGACTTGTTTGTTTCCATTCTTTCAGTTATGGCTTTTATCACTTCTTTAAGTGTACAGTTCGACTTCTGAAGGTGATAATTTCCTTCTGGGGTCTCTTGCTGTCCTAAGCCACTGTAGAGGTTTATGATCAGTTTCAACATGGAGTCGTTGACCGAGTAGGTACTATCTCCATTCCTCAAATGCCCAAACTGTTGCCAGACATTCGTTTTGAACTGTGAAATATTTCTGTTCTGCAGGTGTCACGACACGACTGGCATACTCTAATACTCCGTCAGCCTATCTCAGAACTGCGTCTGTTCCCAAATCATTTACATCGGTGAACACGATGAATTGCCTCCTGGGTATTGGTAGTTTTAGTCATCTGCCGATCATTTAGGAGTTCCTTGATGTGATCATATGTTTTCTGTGCCTCCTTCGTCCACCTAAATTTGCAGTTACCAAGAGACTTACATAAAGATGATGCTATCTCATTGAAATTTTTGAGGAACCGACTGTAGAATGCCGCTCTACCCAAGAACTGTCGCAGTTTCCTCTTGGAATTCGGCACTGGAATGCTTTTAACTGTCAGAATTTTCTCAGGTAGTGGTTTTGTTCCACCGTTTCCAAGTTTATATCCTAGCAATGTAACACTTCTTGGTTACCTGAGATTTTGTCTTATTGATGCCAAGTCCAAACTCGTCAATCTATCCTAAAACAGCTTCCGTGTGTTCTAGATGTTCGGCTTCCGTTTGACTGTACACCACCAGGTCGTCACCACACGCCTCTACATTCTCTAGATTCTTCAGCAACAAAATCATCAATCGTCTAAATGTAAATGGAGCATCTACAAGACCAAATGGCATTCGCTTGAATTAGCATTACTTCTTGTCCATGATAAATGCTGTTTTCTCCCTGTCGCTTTCTTTTATTGGTAGCTGCCAGTAGCCTGAGCGGAGGTCCAGAACTGTAAATACTTTTGCATTCTGCAAACGATCCAGTGTTTCAGCTACCGTAGGCATGGCACACGTCTTCAGTTGCGTTATGCTATTTAACTTTAGGAAATCAACACAGAATCTATATTTCCCATTGAACTTTCTTACTAAAAGCACTGGCGAGTTGTATGGGCTGTCAGCCTCCTCAATAATGCCCTACTTGATCCTTTTTCTGAACCTGGCGCTCAACTTCTTCTGCCAAGTGACATGATATTTACCGTGTCATAAAAGTTGTCATTGATTGACTTGTCACTGGGATTTCATGCTGAACCTTGTCACAGTATTCGTAGGGGTCTCCATCTCCCGTGAACAATCTATCGTATTTCTTAACCAGCTTCATGATGTTTGGCGCTTCTGGGTGTGGTGCTTTTTAAACCTCGATCTCTGCTACCTCGCTGTTTTCCTGCGTGGTGGACGACACGTACTTCGTCTCCACTATTCCTGTTTTTCTGTTTGTGGTAATAACTGCACCCACTTCCCTCAAAAAATCAGCACTTAGGATTTTCCGTTGAAGACGCGTGGTCACAATGAATGAAAATCTAATTTTCCGATCTCGACGACACAATCTGATGGGCCTGAGATTACTAATACATGTCTCTCAACCGTATGGACCGTTGGTCTTATGTTCAAAGACTGTTGACTCTCATCTATCTGCAAGACTGCCGCCCCAACCCGGTACCATTTAGACACACGACCTTCCGATCATTTATTCGCATTCTAATATACACAGCACGTCTATTCGGAAAAACAGAACTCATATTACATCTTTCAAAACGTTTTCTTTTTCGCCTCTCCAGACAGTTTCTTCGCCAGTGTCTTAGTTTTCTGCATGCAAAGTATTTACTCTGTCTGTTGATATCCATTTGAAGTGCAGCCATCTCCTTCTGAAGGTTTTCAATTTGTTTTTGCCAGTTGTTTACCTCTGGTGACTCCACCGTAGCTACTGCTGTACCCATTAGCTCTCTGGTGACCTTGGCCAGCTCACTTATATCCATGGGTTGGGCTGCGTTCACTAATCGTAGCTGTTGAGCGATGGCGTTAGAGGCACTTTCGGTGAAGTACGCAACCAGCAACTGCGCTAGGAGTTCTCATCCAAGGTGGTAAGTGCTCGTCAAAGTTGTTAAGTCAACTTCACAGCCAATAACAGCGGATCTTCGTCTATATCAAGTTTCGTGCTCCGGAACTGTTGTATTGCTAGTTCCCTGTTCGTTGGGCTGTCAAACTCCAGTGCCAGATGTATAACCATTCTCTGCTAAGTCTACTTCCTCTCCCCATGTTCCACACCGTCATATTCTGCTTTCGCCATACCCATCAGCAACGTGCCAAGCACCACAACCTTCGTTCCTGGATCCTGGACAACCACCAGCTCCGCGACCGACTCGAAATCCCTGAGGAAGACCTTGATGTTTCCATTCTTGAACAATGCGGGCCACGGAATCTTCATCGCGTCCATAAGCAGCGACACCAGTTGAAGGAAACGAGAAGACAGAGAGGAAGGAAGGAATGTTTATTATGAACATGTGGTACAGTAGTACACCTTGCATTAGGACAGTGATTTGCATACTGTGCTTCATTTCCTCTTCTTTTATCTCGATTTCCTCTTAATACGCCCGAGTTGCTTCTTGCGTTTCTCTGGACGGAGTCTTTACCCTATTATTTCTGTCGCCTCATCAACATATACTACTTGTATCCATTCTGATCAGCAACACCCACTATAGCGTGAACTCACGCACTATAATGAAGTCAGAGAATTATACTTGTAGACTCAAGTGTCAAAACTTTGTTTGTCTATCTACGCATTATTAAACGCCGCACGAAATCAAAAGTTAGTGTTTTCCAAGTTTTGGGGTTTAAGCACAGATTTTTCATCACTAGGCTAGGCGACTTCACCAAACAATTATCGTTCTCACCCTGAGCTACATATCCATATTTTCTCAAAGACATTAAGGTGCAATGAGCTTCTTTATGCTTGGAAATGGGACGGCTTTGCTGGTTGCAGAACTTCTACCTGACAACATCTTTCCTTCTTACGAGAACATTTATAAGAGCGTATCTTACCACGAAGTGTGTCCCATTGGATGGAAGAAGTCTGAACAAAATGGAACAAAAATGATGCGATTATTCATATCGGATGCACACAATGGACTGAGGAAATACAATAGGATAGAACCAATCATAGGAACATAGAAGAACAAACCAACTAACCAGCACCATAAATACAATGATGAAAACCGAAGATGATAAAATAAAAGGGAAACGAATCGCTCAAGCTCTCCAAATCAACAAAACAAGAATGGGTAGTGAACATTTCACATAGAACCCTATCCCATACAGCATTCAATTCACTCTGAAAAGGATTAGACCGCATTACGGAGAATGGAAATATGTTTTGTTTCTGTGCAGCCTTCGAATCTTCACTCAGAACTACAGGAATAACAGCAGAAAAACTCCGAGAACTATAACAGCTGGTCACAGTGTCGGTAAAAATCAAGGGAAAGAAGCATTAACTCAACACAGATGAAAAGAAAGAACTGGATTCACTTGTGCTAGACAAGGAGA